CCGTTCCAAATTCACCCCAGGTCATCGGTTGTCTGGTGGATCTCTCACATACACATACACACAAAAAATTTATTTCTCATTTGCAAATCCATAATAATGATGATGATGACATTCTAAAAATATCCTCACTATATTCATTTTGGTGGCCATGCATGTATATATGTCCGTTAGCAAAAAAAAAAAATTTCAGGGGAAAAATGAAATGAAAATTATTTATGGCAATTTTAGTAACGAAAAAAAACGAAAATATTTTTCATTTTTTGTGAATAATGTGACAATTACAATGTTTGGCTGCAACAAGAATGCATGATGCATCTGCCGTTATTTTTTCTTCTCGTCTTCTATGAAAAAAAACTAGGTTAATTATTCAACATTAAAGTTGACACGCGAAAACATCTTGAAACATGATAACAAAACAAAACAAAAAAAAATCCATCAACTGACTGACCAACAAAAAAAAACAATGATCATTATCACCTGAAAAAGACGCCCAGAAAAAACCCCAGGAAAATCAAATTGTTTTACCACCAACAACTAACTAACAAACAGCTACAGATCATCACACATATTTATTTATGGTAAAAACAAATAACAACAACAACATATATTGTGTTCTATATACTTACCAGAGAGAGAGAGAGAGAGAGAGAGTTCATTTCATTTCATTTCTCCAACAACAAAAAAAATACCACTACCAACTTTTGAAAAAGTAAACGGTTTTATGATATGTATGATGATTGCAAGAAATAACTTGATCCTTGAATCCAACCAGAAAATGTTGGTCATGGTCTCGACACCTCTGATTGAATTATTTGCTTGTTTGGTTGGTTGGTTTGTTGGTGATGGTCATCTGGTACTTGGATTTTTTTTAATGAAATATAAATTGTTTTTATATCTGGTGCCTCTAATAACAAAGGCCACTTTGGCAATTTATCATTATGATGTCATAATGATCATTACCACCACTACAGCAATCATCGGTCGATTGGTGGTAATGAAAAGAATTTCTACAGAATTTTTTTTCACAAACAAAAAATCAATGAATGCAAAATTCCGAAACGAAACGAAAAATGAAAATCAAAGTCAAGGAAAAAAAGCAAATATAAACACAAAATGAAAATGAATACCTAATTCAAGGACAATAACAATGTTGTATTCTTCACAGTTACTGCCATCATCATCTTGATCATGGCAGTAAAGAAAAATTTTCTTATTTTTCTTTTCAAAAGAAATGATTGATTGATCAATCAATCAATCTATCTATCGATCGATCGATCTATCGACCGATAATAATTAGATTGGCAAGTAGATAGGTAGTTGATATAAATCAAAAGAAATGATGCACGATAAAAAAAAACATGAAATGTGAATTGCTCAACTACCAGAAAACAAAACAGAAAAATTAAATGTTGAAAATGAAAAATAAATCGATTAATCGATTGTGAATATACCAATTCAAGGCCCAAACCTATCTTTTGAATAAAAACATATCGATCGAATTTCGAACCAAATTTGAAGTTTATTTGTTTCTGGATCTGGGAAACAATGATGAGAATAGTCCATGTGAAACAAACCAAATAAAATTCACGGTTAACAACATAAAACGATAAAACCAAAAGCTCAAATTTTAGATAGATAGTTCAAAAGTACAATTTTCTTCATCTTATTTCACAGAAGGACGATGACGTCAATTTGGAACCAATTTTTCTTGGTACAATGAACTCGTTTTTGTTCGTTTGTTCATAATAATCAGATTAATCATTAAATAATCAATTTTTTACTCTCTTTAAGCATTTTTTCTGATTGAAATGCAGTTCTATATTGTAACAATTTCAAAACAAAAACAAAATGAAGAGAGTCAAACAAAATAAACAATATCTGATCTCATCATTCATTCATTACAGATGGTGATGATGAGGCTGATGAACACCTGAAAATAAATGAATTTGCCAATCAATCAAAAATTAGAATTGCTAGGTTTATGTCGTTTTTCCTTTTACATTCTTTCTGTTTATACAACGACAACAACAAAATCCTGATTATGATAATGATCTTACCACTTTCCATTTTTTTGCCATTTTCTTTCATTCATCAATAAGGGAATGATTGGAAAAAACCGGCTTTCCAATACAAATATTCAAATTCAAATTGTCTATTTTTAAACATTTTTTCTTCTTAGCTTTCAATAGATAATAATAATCCATCATTATTTTGTTTGTGTCAAATAAACTACAACAACACACACACACACATTTGGTAATCAAAGAAATTTTCTTCAAAGTTTTGATCTTGTTGTTTACAGTGAACGGGAAAAAACAACAACGAACAAAATTAAGAATTGTATGAACATCCACTTAGCCATGTATCATCGTCATCACAATTATTTACTTTGTTTTTTTCTTGTCGATTTATTTGGCTACTGAATTTAGCATAGGAAAAATTCCAAATTAAATCAAAAGAAAAAAACTAGTTCAGTATGTCAAAAGCTGTTGCTGCTCTATGAATCTCAACTACAGTATCACAAAAACAAAAAAAGTCATAGCAAATCACACACACATCAATTAAAAAGAATATTGCCATTGTGGAACGATCCAAAACAAGAAACAAACCGGTAATTCAGCAGCAACAACAGTGACTAAGTAGCAGTTGAAAATTTTTAATTTCAAATTCAAAGAATAGAAATTCATTCCATTGACATACTAACATATTGACACTGTTGTTGGCTTTTTCGGAATTTTCTATCATCTTTCTGTCATTATCGTCTTTTTTTGAATAAATTCCAAAATGAGTGAATGGATATGATATATCAAAATGAAATGGATATATAAAATGTGTCTTCATCATCATGTAATCCTTGATGATGCAGCAATTATATTTTTATTGCAAATATCAAAACAAAAAAAACTTGCTCGTATTATTGCTAGTATTATGGATTGTCAATTGCAATTTTCAAAAAAACACTCATACCACGACGCTGGTTTGTTGTAATCTTTTTTTTCTATTTAATGAAAACGAAGTAAAGTAAAGTAAAAAAAGGGATATCATGGCAGTGTTGTCACATCAAAATTTTATATATTTGCACGTACTACTCTCACTCACTCATACATACAAATAAAACACGTATCCTTGACTTTTTTCTCTATCAACTTCCAAATACAGCAAAAAACAGAACACAAACATGCACATTGATGAAAAGGAAAATTTCACATACACAACAACCTGAATGTGGATAGGTTTTTTCAATGTTGGCAAAGGAAAAAAAATCCTTCAGATTCAAAGGATTTCCGTTGAATGAGTTGCATAACAAATGTAGTGAATTGAAAGAAATTCGAAAAATTTCACTTACCCTGGACCTGATCATAGATTGTAGGACAAAAATCGAAATTGATTTTATTTGTTTGAAATTTAAAAATTTTTTCTCATATTCTTGATTATCATCACCACTGTTGATAATTAAGTTTTATCTTAAAAAATGATGAATAAATTTTACATTTAGGCAGACAATCAATTAATTCTGTCCAAACGTTCAATTATCGAACACAAACAAAACAAAAACAAAAAAAATAAATAAAGAGGAAGTGCAAGCGATAACGATAACAATCGATATAATCGATTATGATGATTCGAATGTGATAAAAACATTCGAAAAAACTTGGTAAAAACACAACACCGGATAATTATCGGATGAAATCCAATGTCGTTTGGAATGTGAAAACTTGAATAGTTAAATCAATTTTTGATCAATATGATTTTAGCCAGCAAGCAACCACTTGATGGACTTGATTTTTTTCTTATTTTCTGCTGAAACATTGCTGATCGATCAAAAATTGATTGATCATCATTACAAAAATGATGACATTGATTATAAATTATTTTTTATATTTAATTTTCTACGTTTAAAATAATGATGATGATTTGATAATATCGATTCCATTATCATCAATTTCCAATTGATTTGAATATTATCCATTATCACCATTATTGATTGATCCATTGTTGTTGTCGTTGTGACTGATGGATCTTTTTCATTTAGATTTACATTTTCTTATTCACTTTTTTGTTTGATGAAATTTATGTCAAATAAAACGCGAATACACAACACAAACAAAACGCAAACACAAAAATGAGTTTTTTTTTCGTTTTCGTAATTTTTGTTTTGTATTTACAGTTATTATAACTGACTGATGCTTACTTGTTTGTTTGTGTGATGAACGTACTACTACGAACAACAACAACAACAACAATGAAACATGCACATAAATTGAAGAAATAGAAAACTTGTGTCTCCTTTACAACAACAACACAAAACTTGGAAATTTTCTTACCTTTTTTAACGACGACGACGACGATGATGTTGATGAGAGAAACACAAACAAGACGAAGACAGGACATGTAACAAAAAACACACAGATGACGACGACGACGACGACTGCTCTGTTTGAATGTTTAGAATTTTATGTTGAGATTCGATTCGTCAGATTCTGTGCACGATCGTACGAAATCAATTGATCATTGAATTTGAAGAATTAAATCAGATTAGAGAATTATAATTAATTTCATGACAAATTTGATATAATATTCGATGATTGACTGTAGTTTGGCTAATTTTTTTTTCTTTCAATTCATTATGCTGTATTTTGATTGTTTCGACATCCATATGATAATGGCGATCTTTGTTTATATATTTCTCTCTCTCTTGTTTGAAATTGGATTTGCTTGATTTGAATCGCTCGGTCGGTCGGTGTGTTTAAATTTTGACATTTTGCCCGAATGGATCCTGTTTGAAATTTTGTTTTTTGTTTGTTGATCATTAAAATTTCTATATAGATGATGCACAGAGGTGATGATGATGATGGATAAAAAATTGAAAAAAATGCATAAAAGAGACAATAACAACATCTATGAACGACAACGATCGAGTGTCAAAAAAAATCAGCTGATTTTGTTCAAACCAAAATAATAATCAAACAAAAGCAACAACAACAACAATTGGAATTAGAATTAGAATTTTTCGTTTAATTTTTGAAAATGAATGATAAAGGTTTGTAGTTTAAAGTAGAGACTTTGAAATTAATAATTAGTTTTCCTTATGAATCATAATTTTATTGTAGATAATCCACTTCATATAACGTGGTGTAATCGTGTACGATTTCCACCATTAAATCAACACAATGTTCTTACATATTTTGCTGATAAAAGTAACCCGTTCTATGATCATACATGTAATAATGAACATCTTAAAATGAGAAATCTACATCCACGTGAATTGGAAAAAATGAAAGGAATCGAATACATTCTGTTACATAGTAAAGAACCGATATTGTTCGTTATACGTAAACAGCAACGACATTCACCGACATATGTAGTACCAATAGCTAATTATTATATAATCGCCGGTGTTATATATCAGGCACCGGATCTTAAATCAATTATTGAATCCAAATTATTGACAACAATTTATTCATTACAATCGGCATTCGAAGAATGCTTGAATTATGCACGTTTTCATCCATCCATCGATTATACATGGATATTTGATCGCGATAATTCCAATGATATGATGATTAATTTTAAAGAAGATGGACAATCAAATGATAATAATCATGAAAATGGTAAAGATTCATCATCCAGCACCAGTAATCATAATAATAAAAACACCAGTAGCAAAGAAACATTCATAATTGATGGTAATAATCAGATGCGATTACGTTATCGTGAAAGTGTTGATGGATTATTATGGCATCTATTGCAAAAATTTCCACCCAATCCTATTGGTGGTGGTGAACAAAAACAATTGACCATTCAATCATCGAATACTAATATTAATCAACAGCAGATTGATTCACAGCAAACAAATTCATCATCATCTAAACAACAATCGACAACAGCAACAACTAATGGATCGACAATTAAAATGGAAGATGATCATGATCATAGCGTCATTGGTGGCGGATTTAATAATGAACAGCAACGAGTGAAAACGGGACAAAAATCTACAGCATCGATGATGATGATGAAAAAACCAAAATTAAATTAATTAATTAATAATCAATTCCATTTATTTATTATCATATTAAAATTAAATTAAACCAGCCCGGTACAGGCGCTTCGCGCCTGCCCCAGGCTGGCCCTGCGGGGCTGACTCCTGACAGTCAATATAGCTGGATACCCGCAGGTGTGGCGGCTGCGCCGCCCCCCCTGCTTGGTACCCAGCCAAAGGTATGAATTCTTGAGGTCAATAGAGCTGGATACCCGCAGGGGTGGCGGCTGCGCCGCCCCCCTGCTTGGTATCCAGTCAAAGGTATCAATCCTTGACGGTCAATATAGCTGGATACCCGCAGGTGTGGCGGCTGCGCCGCCCCCCTGCTTGGCATCTAGCCAAAGGTGTCAATTTTAACGCTTCGTGCTTTGTGCCTGACGGTGGATTTCTATGCACGGCGTTTTGCTTCCGGTTTCGGTTTGGTACCGCAGGGTCAGCTATGACTTGTGTATTGTACCTGACACCTTTGAAAATGTTACGTAAATCCAACATCAACTTATCGATCAAACAGCATACTTATTATTGTTCATCGATATCGATAAGTTGGCGGAATACGATATTTTTGGTGTAGATGCTGCGATCGTTGTTGACCGTCAGCAAAATAGCACCTTGCTTTTCCTCAATTTCCTCGACAAAAATCTTAAGATTATTAGGATTTTTGCATCGGGAAAGAGCCACATACATCATTCCATGTTGGAATACTGGTGTGGGAAGGTATACACCTACTTTTTCGAAAGATTGCCCTTGAGACTTATTAATTGTCAGGGCAAAAGCCAACACCACAGGAAATTGTCTACGCACCAATTTGAATGGCAGCTCAGGATCTTGATCATTTTGTTGGAAAATGATCCGAGGAATCAGAGCCTCCGTGTTTTTGTGCGTTCCTGTCAATATGCGAGCTTTAATGGTGCGTCTTTTTAGTTGAGTGACAACTAAACGTGTACCATTAAGCAAACCGCTTTGTGGTTCAACATTGCGGATCAACATTATAATGGATCCAACTTTTAATTCCAGTTTGTGTCTAGGATAACCTTGCGGGTTCATCGCATGAAGACACTCAACATTGAATTGCAAACCGCTGTGGTTTTCCGCAATATTGTCAATGCTGTAATAAATTGTATTCTCACCAATGAATGAGTTTGATATTTTTGTATTGAAAAAATGTGCTAAATCATTGGTGGTGGTGAGAATGACCTTTTTGGCCATTTCCTCTGCCTGATCTTGATAAGCTGGATCAAGTCCAGCACCATAGATTTCAGTTGTTAGCTCGTCAACGCTATTAACTAAAAATTGATCTGGAACACGAAAGTATTCTGGATCTGTGATTCGAGATGATTCAGCTCGAAGTGTACCGTTGCCCAATTTAAGAAGCCATTCATTGTATTCAGCAAAATTGGCTGATCTCATATTGGTGCTAAGACTAAACCGTTTTGCATATATCCAAAGCGGTGACTTCTTAATGCTCAAGTCTGCAGAAGAAACACAAATTCCTCTGGGAACAATCGGAGATATTTGACGAAAATCTCCCCCAAAGATGATTAATTTACCACCAAAAACTTCTTGCGACTGCATGAGATCTTTGAGCAATAAGTCAATTATGTTAATCACATGAATCGACATCACTATAACAATACAATACTCACTTTTCAATACTTATAATCATACAAACATACTCATCAAATACTCATATACATTCACACAAAATGAAAATCACGTGGTCGCTATCAAAATTCGAATTCGACGATTCGAACTCTTTCTATGTTCTATTGAATGACTGCACCATCTATGGGATGCAAAATCTGCAGCAAAGTGTGCGGAGCTAGAACAATGAAAAAAAGCTTTGTCAAAGCTACATACCACAGAATGCGTTTCTTTAGAAGCGGCTTCTACTTCTGAGCTGGACGAACTGTTCAGCGGCATTCAAAAGTTTTCCCGCATGCTCAGACACACACACACTGAGTAGCTCATACTAAATAGTTATGTTTGTACTGAAAATTAGCAGGAATGGCCGGCTCAGCTTCCCCGCATTAAATGCCAAGTTAATACACAGTGCAAGTACACAGTGCAAGCACTTGGCGAGTGTAAAAGTTGCAGTTACTCACAAACGTTAGCGTCATAGTATAGTAGATTTCTCAATTTCGAATAAATAAATCTTTGTTCATGTTGCTAAATGTTCCAATTCTCACAGCGTCATCTATCGATTTGTGTGGAAATCGTTTAAAAAACTGTAAAGCACACTCTAAAAAATACTTTTTGTACTTATTTTCTCCATTAAAAACTCCTCCCATTATGTATTTTTTTTACCTCGATTTCAACTTCGGTTGTACAAAGTCTACCCCAAAAATGGGGTCTATTTTTTAGAGTGTAGTAGTGGTGGGGGTGTGTAGTGTGAGTGGTATGTGTAGGTGATGGATTTCGTACACTGTAATGAAAATCCTACATCAATTTGAATCCATATAAATATCAATCCAAACCATGTATGCAACTGGGAATATGTATCCCGCATAAATACGCCAGATTATGTTGCGTATTAAGCAAACTCTTTCAAACGAAATATATTTGTTATATAAATGTGCGTGTGGTCGTATTCCTTTTTTTTGTAAAATAGTCAAATTAACGCCATCTTTTGGCTGATGATCTCTTTTTGTAAAAAATTCATACAATAAAAGTTTACGATACAAATAAACTATCAATGTATAAAAACTACATGAATCAATGGATCAATTTTTTTGGGCAATTTAAAGAAAAAAAAATTCCAGAAAAGATTCTTTATTTGATTACTAGAAATTCCGAAGAAAATTTCCCTATTTGTAACAACTCAATTCAATTCAATTCAATGATTGCACACACAGCTGACGACGATCAACATCAACACCCATATATAATTGTTTTGTATATAGAATTTTTTTGTGAATTGATTCAATCAAATCTATCAATTGTCATTTGAGATCACTAAATTAAATGAATGACAATGTCATCGCATCATTGATTCACTAATTATTTTGATTTCTATTTTTTTTCAATCTGAACAAAAAAATTCCAGATCATCATTGTCATGGCACATCGATCATCAGCGGCTGAAACATTATCTCAAACAACTTCTGAATCGTCCACATCGTTATCATCATCGATGGAAATTACTGTTGAAAAATATCAACGTTTAGCCACTGAATATGCTAAGGTTTGTTGGATGATTCGAATTGAAAATTCTTATAGATGATCTTTGTTTTCCAATCTAAATAAATAGATTCGTGCTCAATTTTTGGTGCTCAAAAAAGCTGTGATCGACGAGGAAGGAAAAAACGTCGAACAACAACAAACGATCAAAATACGTGATCAAAATATACGACGTTTAGAGCAAGAAATTGAAAGTCTTCGATTTCGTAATCAACAACTAACTAAACGTGTTGGTGTATTACAAAGTGATTTAGATTCGAAAGATCGACAAAATTCACCAGGATCAAGACGAACCGGATTTCTTTCATTTTCTTCATCATCCTCATCCACCTCGTCATCAGCATCGAAAGATGGTCAATGCAAAGATTTACGTCGAGCTTCAACAAGTAGTAGTAACAGTGTTAATAATAATTCACAACAACAGCAACCAGAATCAATGAATCTAGTCGATGAATTGAATTTGGAATTAAAAACGAAAACCGAAGAATTGGAACGGCTTAAACAACTAAATTGTCATCTGGAACAACAACGGTTACAGTCTACAGAACGGCTAGAACATGAATTGAAAGTGACAAAAAATTTGGCAGCTGAACAAACAGAAACCACTGAAAGACAGTTGGAAGAATGTAAATCTAGTCTGCGAAAAATGGAACAGGAAAAGATTGATTTGAAAAGTAGATATCAAAAAATTGATCAAAAATTTCATGAATCTCGTGTCGAGATTGAAGATTTGTAAGTTTGTTTTTCGAGAGAGAAATTCTTTTTGAATAATTGAAATTTTTTCTTTACAATAGAAAATATGAGAATAAAAATCTGAAACAACGTATAGCCAATCTAGAACATCTAATCAAAAAATCCGAACAAGAATCCTCGAATATAAAAGTGATTGACAATAATTATCGATATGATTTGAACCAATTATCTCCCCAACAACAACGACAGCAGCCGCAACAGCAACGACAGAATAAATTCTATAAAGATCTCTCCAAACGACAAGATGTGATTGAACAATTTACAATGAAATTATGTGAATTCATCTGTGCCCTATCGACTGTACATTCCAATGTATCTCAAAAAATTTCAATAATGTTTGCATTGTTCCAAAAACAATCGAATCATTTATATTTTCTTGATTTTCAATCATCATTATCATCGATCGAATTATTAGAATTGCCTTCATCGATGAATGATTGTTCCATTATTGATACGAATCGACCACCATCAACCACAAGAACAAAAACATCACCAGAATTCGTTCATCAATCATCGACGATCAATAATGATCCAGTACCATTTCGTTCAATGTCTGTGATGTCCATACTCCGAAAGGTTTGATGTTTTGTTTTTTAAATTAAAACTTTGTTTTGACGTGGTTCAACAACTTTGATAAATTTTTTTCTTTTGCAAAATAGTTTCGTGATTATATGCAAATGGGCTACGATACCTATCTGGTACAATTGGAAGATGCATCTAAGCAGTATTCTGAATTGAAAATTCAACAATGGAAACAACAATCATCACCTGATTCGACAACGATAACCGATTCGAATGCAATCGAACAAGAAATATCAAAAACATCTATCGATATTGTTGAAACGTTTGCCGATTATGTTGGTTATCTGAACAAAACAAACATTTATTTGACTATTTGGTAAGTGACGAAAAAAATTTTCTGAGCAAAATTTCTAATGTTACATATTGATATTGATATATTGATATTCTAGTTTAAATCTATGGTGTAAACAATATGTTGATTATGATCCATCCAATCATATCATACAAACAATGTTGGATCCACAATTACAGGCACATTTAGCCGATCCAGAAAAACGTCGTAATCTTTGTGAAAAGAATGAAATGTTGATACAATCAATCACTAATTGTGTAACGATAATTGGACAGATTTGTAATTATGTTCAATTATTGCTGTCCAAATCATTGATGAATACAAATTTTCTTACAATTTTCAATGAATTTATGCATCGTATCGATGCACTTGAACATGGTATTGGTGGTATGTGTTTGTTTTTATTTCTTCAATTGACCCCTTGAATTCTAATTATTCTTTTTCTCGATTTAAATAGAAGCAAAACGAGTATTTAGCTCCAAAGTTGTATTGGAACATGATCTTGGCGTCACTATTGAATCGGAATTGAAATCAGCTGATGATTGTATCCTATCATCGGTTGTATTCTTATCGAAATGTGTACAAGAAATTCGTCTCATATTTGAAATGCATTATTTTTTCTTTGTCAATGATTATCATCCTCAACAACAACAACAACAATCGTCAAATGGTAATGTTGGTGATAGTGATTTGATCATTGATCATACCGAAGATAGTGATGATTATAATGATCAAGACACACAACAACAACAGCAAAAATCGATAGATTTGAGCAATGATAATAAGAATATTGAAACAAAGGTTTGCCGAATCAGAATATGTTATTTTGTGTTTTAATTTTCATTTTTTCTTTGTTTTTTCAGCTAAAATTCTGTCAAACTCGTCTGTTAGAGGTGGAAAAAGAAAAAGAACATTGGTCAATAGAATCACAGCTGATGAAAGTTAAATTGGAACGTGAACAAAAACGTTCGAATGAATTGGAACAAAAATATCAAATGTTAATCACTCAACAACAACAGCAGCAGCAATCAATTTCAACAACAACGATTCATAATTCAAATTCATTTTCTGGTGGACACTCCTTGACAAATCAATCAATAATGAAAAATTCATTGAATAAACAACAGGCTAATTCGAATAATGCGTCATTAGTATCATTATCATCAAGAAGTTTAGATCAAACAACTACAGCGACGACTACTACTATGGCAAAAAATCATGTAAATTATTACGCTGAACTTGGTTCCATCGGTTCATCATCTAATCATGAAGATTGTTCAAGTCAATTAATTGATGATGATATCGTTATGATCGATGGTGGCGGTAATAATATTATCGAATCAATGTTGACCATTAATCCAAATCAATCGCAGCAGCAACAAATAAAAAACATTAATCAATTGAATTTAAATTATATGCAAACAAAATTGACGCGTTTAACCGATGCATTGGAACGCATAGATTCAAGAGCACGATCATATGAAAATGATTGTCAATCATTACGACAACGTTTATTAATTGAACAGGATCATAATTGCCAACTGAGACAAGAATCTGAGCACCAAGAATCACGAATGAATCGATTACAGGAAGAATTAAAAACAACTGTCAATAATTATGAACAACAGTTGCAAGCAATGTCCGAACATATGGCCAAGTTAAATGAAACATTAGCTAAACAGTGTGAACAAATTGATGTGTTAGAATATGAAAAATCAAATTCTGATCATCATCATTCGAATATTGACTCGAATCAGAAAAAATCATCAACAACGGTGAGTATGACTTGCTAGTGTATTCAACAGTCACAGAAACCTGTATCCATCCATTTATATTTCATCTTCCTATGTGTTTTCTATTCACATAGATGTTTGACCTCAATTTTTTTCGAAACTATTCATTAGATACAGGATTTCAATATTCAATTCACATGATCATCCTTTGTGTGTGTGTGTAAAAACCGATGAATGTTTGGAATATCGTGGCTTAATTTTGTTGTTGTTCCCTTCTTCTCATACCCATTTTCAATGGAAAACAAAATTTTGTCGTCTAATTTTCTTTTCTACTTTTTTCAAAAACTTTTTAGAATCTACGAAAAGGTTTTGGTGGCAAACGTTCGAATACAAATAATTAACAAAGTACCGCAACACACACCCATTCCTATGTTTGTTTGTTAAAATATTTTTTATCTATTAAATGATTGATTAAAGAATTTTTATCATTTTTTTCTTCTCACCTGATTCGTTCTTTATCTCTCTGTTTGCAGAAAAATATAACAATTCAAAACAAATTATGATGAATGAAACAAATTTATTCACGGTCAAAGAATAATCATGAATTTATCATGTGTATGAATGTTTGATGTAAAACTATACAAGCGAAAAAAATGTAATAATAAACAATCATATGAGAATATGAGAATGATATACAATCAGAGAGGTACTATCATTAAATGTTCATGTCATGGATGAATATATTTTTGTAGATGAGAAATGTTTCGATATATTTCGATTATATTGGTTATATATGAAAAAAAGAAAAAAATTTCAATTCAATCCGATCACTTCTTTGTTCCACCAGCGGCTGCTTTTTTCGTTGTCGACGGTTTTTTAGCTGCTGCTTTTTTTGACGGCGATTTGGCTGGTTTAGCTTTTTTAGCCGGAGCCGATGTTGTTGATTTAACCATTGGTTTTTTCGGTGATTTTGGTGCTTTACGTTTCTTTTCAATCTTGGCTTTCTTTTCCTGTCCTTCTTTTGCCGGTGATTTAGCTGGTTTCGATGGTTTTACCTTTTTGGTTCCAGCAACAGTGGTAGCAGTAGCCGTAACGGCAGCCGATTTAGGTTTCGATGGTTTAGCTTTTTTCACGCCAGCAGGTTTTTCTTTTTTCACCGTTTTGACTGCTTTGACAGTTTTCGGTTTTTTGGCTTTAGCTTCTTTCTTTTCACCTTTGTTCAATTTGAATGAACCAGAAGCACCTTTGCCTTTTGATTGGATCAACAAGCCTTTTGCAACGGCACTTTTCAAATGTTTTCGAATGAACGGTGACATGCGTTCGATATCAACACTATAATTGGATTGGATGTATTTCTTGATGGCTTGCAATGATGAACCATTACGTTCTTTCAACGCTACAATAGCTGCTTTGACCATTTGAGCCACTGGTGGATGAGTTGCGGCCGTTTTTGGCTTTGCAGATTTTTTAGCTCCAGAAACTTTTTTCGGTTTAGTTTGTTGTTGTGCTTGAGCAGCGGCAGCTGCAGCAGCGGATGCGACAGTTTCGGCCATTGTTGTTGTTGCAAAGAGAATCAAAATGTATTTAATTGAACAAGGAATTACGATATAACGAGCGTGACAATAATTGTTTACGAAACGAAAAATCTCCACGAACGATAGTTGCAGTTTGAACGAATGACGAATAGCAAGTAGTAGCGCGACGACGACGAGCGACGATATATATACCTAACTGACTGAATTACGAGCGAACTCACAACAAAATCACTGTGGCAAAATAAACCATTGTGGCCATAATTGTGTTTTGTTCATTCAGTTTTTGATCCGTTTTACTATCGAATCCTTGATTGATTCTGACAAATTTGACATCATTGAATTCAGTAATGAATATGCTTTCTAATGATGTGAAAATTTTTCAGAACAATTATTGATAACAGCGTCAAAAATCCAGTCAAAGTTGAGGAAAAAGTTTGTCGCGTCAAATACGGTTTGTTCATCGCGATTAATGTGGAATTTTATCCAAGAAATCATTAACGTATCCAAATGATTTTCGTATCAATTGAAAGCCTAGTTATTGTAGTTTACGATCAAGGAAAAAAATTTCGGATTCACAGCCAAGAATTGACGGAAATTGACTAAAACGCCCACAACGTAAACACTCTGATAGACATAATGTATTCTTGAAATCAATGGCCAATGCTTTAATGAATTGAGCATTAATTGCAATGAATTTAGTATTAAAATTTTTCTCATGAAATTTTCTTTCCAATGATGCTAAATTTACCCACCGGAAGTTATTGGAAGTTGTAAAAAATCGATCCCATCAATTGATTCATTATGGTCTTTTACTGAAAATAAATTGTCAGACGGGCAAAAAAAGAGAAGAGAAAGAGAAACAAAGTCGAGGAGCATGCTCAATAGAGGATTAGAACAAAAACATTCCGTCTTGTGTCAGTGTTTTTTTCTTCTTTTTTTGTTATGTTTTTTAATTACAATTTTATTCGCCTTAACAAAAAATAAACAACAAACAAACAACCAATCTGCATTTCCAGTAAAAAACGCTCTCTCAGAAACCGCAAACATCGACAGACCAAATGCTAAATCTAGTCAGATATTCCCCAAATCTGCCATGACCAAACAAAAATTGACTAAAAGTGAAATCCATCTTGATTCCAATTAAATCGAACAATATTCTTCACAATTGATTTGAGCCATTTCATTACCATAAACACCAGAATGTGCTCGAACCCAATTTAAACAGAAATGTCTAGAATTAGATTGACGAATCCTGTGCATCAAACTAGAACAATTTGATCAGTGTCCGGCTCAATGACAACACGGCACGGCCATTCAACTTGGAACCATCAGTAAAAATATGATAATGATAATATCCAATTGAAATCTATAATCATTTAGCCATGTAAGACCAGACAGGGCAAGCATATGTTAACAATGGTTCAATATCAGTCAGATAAATATAATTCTTAAAACATCAAAATTCAAACCCCATTATAAATGGATAACGATTTCGATTTGATATATAAAAGATTCCATGATTCAATAATAATTTAGTGTCTAAGATAACACCAAGGTACCTTAAATGATCAACAAAGATTAAATCGTGATTTAAGAATCGGCCGGATGAATTTTCTTCTTCTGGTTACCAACATAGCAAACGTTTTATTCCAACTTTCATATTCTTGACAAGACTCAAATATAAACGGAATCGTTTCATAAAGTATAGTGCGAACACGTTTAAATCTGGATAATCCATGTCTAAAGTCAACGAAAAATTTGATTGATACGTGTAGTTTTTTTTTTTTTAATTTCAAAGTTCGGACAATTCAGAAAGACAAAACAATTGTAGAATCCTTACATTCGTGCATTTTCTACCGCCATTTTTTGATAAAATTTCATCCTCTTGTGGATTTAAAACGAGCGCGCAACGTTTTGACATGCGCCAAGTTCAACCACAAGACTGAGTTTGTTCGAGCTCTACTCTACGAGTATATAAATCCAAGCATTGGCAATCAAATCTTCATTTGCTATTTCTTGTACTTCGTGGTTACTTCAATTTTTTCTTGTCAAATTTTCGAAAATCATGTCTGGCCGTGGTAAAGGTGGTAAAGGTCTCGGAAAAGGTGGCGCTAAACGTCATCGTAAAGTTCTCCGTGATAACATCCAAGGTATCACCAAACCAGCTATCCGTCGTTTGGCTCGTCGTGGTGGTGTAAAACGTATCTCTGGCTTGATCTACGAAGAAACCCGAGGTGTCCTCAAGGTTTTTCTCGAAAATGTTATCCGCGATGCTGTTACATACACTGAACATGCAAAACGTAAGACAGTCACTGCCATGGATGTCGTTTATGCTTTGAAACGTCAAGGACGTACTTTGTATGGTTTTGGTGGTTAATTCCGTTTTACATCATTTTACCCCATCCCATTCATTCCATACTCATCTATATCGATCAAAAACGGTCCTTTTTAGGGCCACAATTGTAATTTAGATTAAGAGCTATTTATTTTATTTTTAAATAAAATGAGATTCTGATCCTTATTTCTTTTGGTTATGTTTTCTATTTCAACCTTTTTCGGTTATATTATTACAAATAACAAACTTGACCAAGTATCACAAAATTAAACAAAAACATAACCCTGATCTACAACACATATTCTAGTGATGATAAATAAATCAAAGTGTTTCAAATAATAAAATTATTTACGAAATGAAAATTTTATTATACAAAAAAAAATGCTCGAATTCGGTAAATGAAATGTGGTCCTTAAAAGGACCGTTTTATATGATGAAAATGAAATTAAATTAAGCAGTTTTTTCGGTTTTCTTTGGCAACAACACGGCTTGAATGTTGGGCAACACACCACCTTGGGCGATGGTCACACCACTCAACAATTTGTTCAATTCCTCATCGTTACGGATGGCCAATTGAAGATGACGAGGAATGATACGGGTTTTCTTGTTATCACGGGCTGCATTACCGGCCAATTCCAGAACTTCGGCGGCCAAATATTCAAGAACGGCAGCAAGATAGACTGGAGCACCAGCGCCAACACGTTCAGCGTAATTGCCTTTACGCAACAAACGATGGATACGACCAACCGGAAATTGAAGACCAGCTCGGGATGAGCGAGACTTGGCTTTAGTCTTTACTTTACCGCCTTTACCACGTCCAGACATTGTAGATTCGATTTGAAGTAAATGAGCAAATGAATAGCGAAACAAAAAAAAATTTCGAATGTTAGAAATGTATTGCAATGATTTGGCTTAAATACTCCGTGTTTCACTCGAAAAGTGGTGTACGTAGCAAAAACGCGCCAAATTTTTTAGCTCCTCCTTTCTTGAAATGTGATTGGCTCGTGCTCCGTACACCACTTAGAATCGTATATAAGTCGAACATGGACGGCAAAAATCATTATTCTGTTTGTTTGGTTTTTGCGATCAACAACTTGAATTTCCACAACGAATCTTCAACAATGGCCCCACCAAGCACTGGTAAAGCTGTCAAAAAATCTGGTAAAGCACAAAAATCTGTCCGTGCTACCGACAAGAAAAAGAAACATCGTCGTCGTAAAGAATCCTTCTCGATCTACATCTATAAGGTGTTGAAACAAGTCCACCCGGACACCGGTATTTCATCGAAAGCCATGTCAATCATGAACTCGTTTGTGAACGACATCTTCGAACGAATTGCTGCTGAATCATCGCGTTTGTCACATTACAACAAACGAACAACCATCACCTCAAGAGAAGTACAGACTGCTGTCCGACTTTTGTTACCTGGTGAATTGGCCAAGCATGCCGTATCCGAAGGAACCAAAGCCGTCACCAAATACACATCCAGCAAATAATCATTTCATTCATTGTTTAATTCATCATATAAAACGGTCCTTTTCAGGACCACAATTTAATTACGAATCAGAGCATTTTTTCTAGTAAACTTTTCTAATAAAAAAAATTTTTTTCGATTCAAACTTACCGATTCCAGTTTTATAATTTTGTCGACTTCCAATATTCATACAGCTGTGTTATTACTAAAACACATGAGTGTCTCTAAGGTTTCATGTACCATTTTTCAATTTGAGTCTTTTTTGAAGCTATCGGATCAGCAGTATAATGATGAAAGACATGTATTTTTCAAACTATCAATTTTTGTTTGATGATATCGAAATTAGATGTTGCACGATAAAATATAAATCAATAATCCATGCAATTGTATTCAATCAATTTTTTTAATGTTTTGTAAACAAACATTCGATTTGATGAGCATTAAAAAATAGTTCCCGCCCACTGATTTTCCCTCCAAACTTGAATTTCGCGCTCTTTTCATGCTCCTCCTTCGAGTATTGTCTTGTTCTGATGGTCGAGTATAAAAAAGCGATTCACACCAAGTCTCGTTACTCATTTGTTTATTGGCACTCAAAACTATTGTATTTTCAAGTCGAAAACAAAATAATTTGAAATGGCTCGTACAAAACAAACAGCCCGTAAGTCAACTGGTGGTAAAGCACCACGAAAACAATTGGCAACCAAAGCTGCTCGTAAATCGGCTCCAGCTACCGGAGGTGTGAAAAAACCCCATCGTTATCGCCCAGGTACTGTTGCTCTTCGAGAAATTCGTCGATACCAAAAATCGACCGAATTGCTCATCCGTAAATTGCCATTCCAACGATTAGTCCGTGAAATTGCTCAAGATTTCAAGACTGATCTTCGATTCCAATCATCGGCTGTAATGGCATTGCAAGAAGCTTCTGAAGCCTATCTCGTTGGTTTGTTTGAAGATACTAACTTGTGTGCTATCCATGCAAAACGTGTTACCATTATGCCGAAAGATATCCAATTGGCTCGCCGAATTCGTGGAGAACGTGCTTAAATTCTTCAATTTTCATTCTAATCTAATCCATCATTCATATACAAACGGTCCTTTTTAGGACCATATTTTGATCCAATTGAGATTCGAGCATTTTTTAATCTTTGTTATTTATCATTTTGTCATTTGAATAAAATCATTTAAAAAAAAATTCCGATTTCTCAAGTTTATTTCAATGCATTAAAGAACGACAAACGAAACATGATTCCATTGCTTTTGCTTTATTGAAAGAAAAAAACCGTTTTTTTTGTCATACCAGACCAGGCCAGATTTTATTTTGTTTTGGTAGTAGTTTTTTTGATAAAATATTCCTTTTGAGTATTACAAAAAACAACCTTTGCTATCACCATGCAGTTTTCGCGCCAAAAATCGACACCGTTTTGACATGCGCAACGACAAGACTGAGTTCACTCGAACTTTACTCTACGAGTATATAAATTCCAAAATTGGCAATCCAATCTTCACTCGCAATCTCTTGCCTTTTGTGGTTACTTCAATTTTTTTTTTGACAAATTCTCGAAAATCATGTCTGGCCGTGGTAAAGGTGGTAAAGGTCTCGGAAAAGGTGGCGCCAAACGTCATCGTAAAGTTCTCCGTGATAACATCCAAGGTATCACCAAACCAGCTATTCGTCGTTTGGCTCGTCGTGGTGGTGTAAAACGTATTTCCGGCTTGATCTACGAAGAAACTCGTGGCGTATTGAAAGTATTCTTGGAAAATGTTATCCGTGATGCTGTTACATATACTGAACACGCTAAACGTAAAACGGTAACCGCTATGGATGTTGTATATGCACTCAAACGACAAGGCCGTACATTATATGGTTTTGGTGGTTAATCATCCCAATCAATCAATCGATCGATCGATGCCAAATATGAAATAATCTACACCATAGACAACATGTAAACATTTTTTCATTTTCTATTTGTTTTAGCAATTATGGAAACAAACAAATTGACCAAATTGATTTATATTAATTAATAATTCATTACTTTGTAAATAAAATTGATTTTGAGTTAAAACTGCTCCAACAAATTCGAAAAAAGTTATTTCAATCAATCAATGATAAGTTTGATTAGAAATGTGCAACTTTTACTTCATGTGATGCGTTTGTTTATGATTTATTAATTAAATGAAATGAAATGAATTTTACAAATTGCAATTGCAACACAAGAGATTCTGATTTACAAAATTTTGTATAAGTCACATGTCTGTCTGTGATTGTTGTCATTATAATGATGAGATTATGTATGAATTCTAAGCAGTTTTTTCCGTTTTCTTCGGCAACAATACAGCCTGAATGTTTGGTAGTACACCACCTTGTGCGATAGTAACACCGCTCAATAGTTTATTCAATTCTTCATCGTTACGAATGGCCAATTGTAAATGACGTGGAATGATACGTGTCTTTTTATTATCTCTTGCAGCATTACCGGCCAATTCTAATACTTCGGCAGCTAAATATTCCAATACAGCTGCAAGATAAACTGGTGCACCGGCACCAACACGTTCGGCATAATTACCTAATTTGGTTACAAACAAATGATTCAAATTCGTTTCATCATCATCATCATATCGCATATTCATACCTTTACGAAGTAAACGATGTATTCGACCAACGGGAAATTGCAGGCCAGCACGCGATGAACGTGATTTAGCTTTCGATTTGACTTTACCACCTTTTCCGCGACCAGACATGATGATGGTGATTAAAATAACTTCAGAGATCAATACAGATCAACCAGAGATGCTTATGCTTAAATGACTTTAAAAAATTGTCGTCGTTGTTGTTGTTTTTTGGGTTTTTATTTTTCTTTTGCTCAATGCTGATCAATAAACAACAACAAAAAATTTTCTTATGATCGTGAGTCGTTTCTACAACCACATCATTCTCAAATGCTACTAGCTGTATCGCCTTCAGGTTTCGCTTTTGCTTCTACAATTGATGGAATTAAAATTGCTGCATTTTGATTGGCTCGTGCTGCGTACACCATTTTGTCGATCATATAAAAAGGAAATGATTGCGATTTTTTTGAAATTTTTTTTTTTTGGTTCGAAATACTCGGCCTGTTGTATTCGTGTGTTTGCTCTGTCTATAATCCGTTCTTTGTCTTTCACTCAACAAATATAATTGTTATTTGATCAATTTCTAATATCGTTCATCGTTCATATCATATATGGCGCCAACACCAACAACCAGTAAGATTGAAAAGAAAAGTGCTGGAAAAGCACAGAAATCTGTTCGTGTATCGGATAAAAAGAAGAAATATCGTCGCCGTAAAGAATCATTTTCGATTTACATCTATAAAGTAATGAAACAAGTACATCCGGATACAGGAATATCATCGAAGGCAATGTCCATAATGAATTCATTTGTCAACGACATATTTGAACGTATTGCAGCCGAAGCATCGAGATTAGCACAATACAATAAACGAACAACAATTACTTCGAGAGAGATACAAACTAGTGTACGATTATTGTTACCGGGGGAATTGGCCAAACATGCTGTATCGGAAGGCACAAAATCTGTTACCAAATATACATCGAGCAAATGAGTAAAAAGACAAGACAAAAAAACATACACATCATCATCATCATCTGTAGATCAGTGTAAAATTAATTCATATTCTCACACATTTTCATCTCTAATAAATGAAAATGAAAAAAATGTGCAATTTTTAAACTATGTCATTAATTGAATTGGAAAGCTGTGTAATAATAATGATAATTTTTTTATAAAAAATAAAAAATTTAGTGTAAAATAATACATTCATAATAACAATGAAATATAGCATTTAACATTTACTCGATTGTTGCAAGTTGCCAATGATAGATGTCGTTACGGTGCACATTAGACTTTCGTTTTGCTAAAGAAAAATAACAAACCGTTTCGCCTTTATATCTATCTCTTTATTATCTGATTAATGTCTATGTCTATTTCTATTCTATGTTCCAGGGAAATAATTCGTTTCAAATGCCAAGCATATATGCAAAACGCATTTCAAAAAATTTGAAATCTTTGGTTCAATTTATTGACCATTTTCAACAACCACGATATTATGGACGAAAATCAAACAAAAAATTGACCCATGAACCACTATTGTGGTGACCCTTAACGAATTTTATTACTGCTGATGTGCTGTTGTTGCTTGCTTGGCTGGTCGGAAAAATAACGAAAAAACGAATGTCCATCTGCAGATGTCTAAACCCTATTGTTGCTCTGTCGCTCTGATCGATCCTACAACTTTTTTTTGTCTATTCGCTTGCTTGCTTCAAAAATTCATGTCGTCGTTGTTCGCTTCGGGTTTCTTGCTCTATCTCGCTCTCTCTCCTCTCTCTCTCTCTCTCTCTTCGGCTGCTGCTGTTATATTCGTTCAATCATCATCCAAATGTACAATGATGATATACAGCCAAAAGAAAGAAAGAAAAAAATCCTGAAATTGAGTACGTTGCCTCCCGCTTCTATACTTTGTCTTGGCCATCACCATCATCATAGCCGTCAACATCATCCAAAATCGTGATCGCCGTTCTCGTTTCTATATTCCACATTCATCCATCCAAATGGTAAAAATGCATGTATGATTCATGTATTACTGATGATGACGACGATGATGATGATGGAAAAAAAGAACGCGAACGTAAATGGTGGCGGTAGTGTTGGGGGAAATAGATTACAAAATAGGAAAAAGAGAATATTAATGTGTGTGTGTGTGTGTGTGAGTGTACCCACATAAAGAAATGAATATGGTTACTATATGCGTCAAACGCAAACAAATATCACTATAGTGGTATGTGGGCGGGTGAATGAATGACAAAGAAAAGGATCCAAAATACTTTCAGGCTTAACAAAAAAAAAATCATCAACTCAAAATTCGTTCGCATCGCCTAAGCACTAAAATAACACACAGACATTGGGCATCTGCGTAGAGATGTTTTTTGTTAATTCCTTTCTCTTTGCTGAGTTGTGTGTGTATGTATAGTATGTCTGTATGGTGGTGCCGCAATAATCAAGTAAAATTTGAACCAGCGCCGACCAACCAAATAAATCGACAAATACACAGAATGGGAATGAAAAAAAATCTCGTTTATTGTCGCAATCAAGCCAAATTGAGAACAGAGAACAACAACATACAAGAGAGAAAGGCACGACCGATAACAACCAAACAACAACAGCCGCCAACTGGTAACGACAACTGGTTAGCTGCTTGCCTAGCTCGCTTATTTTATTTTACGTTTAAAATATATTGAATGTGTGTGTGTGTGTGTGTGTGTTTTGTACATGTTTGAACGTATATAAAATGTGTAATGCAATGTTGGCTTTATTTTTTTCGGGGCTAGGTTGCCTGGGTTGTTTCTTTTGTCGAGAGATTATTATACTAATGGCCAGGTCGTCGTAGTCGTTATTATTTGCTACTTCTGCTGTTTATTTTATTTGTTGTGTTTTGTTGCCGTCGTCATCAATAAACTAACCAACAGCGAAAAAAATAGCTAGATCCACCACACGCCACTATGATGATGATCCCACAGCTAATTCATTGCGATATGTGAAACGAATGTGTGTGTGTGTGTGTGTGTGTTATGTTTTGCAATAGCGATTATATTTCGAACCAAAAAAACTACTCTTGAGACTCAAAATTTCAAATTATATAAAGCATGGTTGAATATACCAAAATGGTGAAGAATTCGTTACACTAAAGTATTGGTAATGGTGGTGGTGGTGGTGGTATTAATGTAACCTTGGTCGTCGTATTTAGTCTTTATCGTCAACTTTGTCCATATGAATTTTCGGCGGCCATTATCTTGTGTTCTTGCTCGCTGGTGAAGAAAAGGGCGCGGTATTACTAATAAATGGTTTTGTGTGACCCTTGTTGAGTCAGTCGATATTCTTGATTACTCGACTACAACGACAACTACGTTGATATTGAACGCATTTATAATTGATTTGTTGTTTTGTTTATATCTCGATTTGAGCCAGATATAAATTCTATTGCGATTTTCTTTCTAAACAAACTTGTGTGTGTGTGTTGTACTTCAATTGGCAGCTTCAATTTTTTTCACAAAAAACATCGACATCAATAATGCCAAATAATAATCGTACACCAACAACAACAACAACTAAATCATCATCATCACCACCTTTATTCAATGACAATAGTAATGATATTGAATTGATTGATGCAACCGATGAAGATGATGATGATACGATTATAACAAATGTGGCAGCATCATCAACAACAGCGGCGACAACGACAACAACAACAACATTATCAGCAATTGATCCTGAAGATCAATCATCATTTTGGTCATCATTCGATTCGAATGATCCAGAAAAAGTTTCCATTATCAATAGTGTTATGAACAGTATCCAACAGACACAACAACCACCATTGAATGGTGGTGGTACAACAGATTCACCTTCCAGTAATAATAATGTAAATGGTCATAGTAATAGCCGATTGGATGAACAACGAAGATTATTAATTGAAGAAGTACGTAAACGTCCATGGATTTATTATAAAAAAGATCCAGGATACAATGAACGTATTCGTATACAACAATCATGGAAGGAAATTTCCGAATTAATCGGTTGGGATGGTAAGTTTTACTTTTTTGTTGATTTAAAACTAATTCCATTTCATATTCTAGAGGAAATGTGTAAATCAAAATGGCGTAATGTACGGGACGCATATCGAAAAATACAACGATCTCATCAGAAAAATCCAAATGATTTAAGTTATGTTAATCGTCATCCTGAATTATCATTCCTAGATGATTGTCCATTTAAACCACGTTCAAAAAATAGGGCTAAATCGTATGTTTTTTCTCTCCCATAAAACTTGAATCGAATTTTATGTTTTATGTTTTACAGGAAAACAAAATCCACATCATCATCATCAATGATACAAGCATCGGGTAATTCATCATCGACATTTAAATCTTCTGTAGCCATTATTGGTGAGAAACGACAAACACGTGCATCATCAGCAGCTGCATTAATTGTACCGAATGCCAATCCATCCGCACAACAACAACAACAAACGAAACAATCACCAAATAATCATAGATTGAATAATGAATCACATTCGAACATTCCCAATTCCACCGTAGCAACTTCAACAACTACTCAGGTTATTGGTACATCAACAATACAGAATGGATCATCAATGATACATCATTTACAACATCATAATCAAATGAAACCAATGATTTCGGTGGTAACTAAACCAAGAAAAACAATACAATTTAATAATCCAAATCATTCAAATAACACGAATTCGAACATCTTACGATCTCCGGCAGTATCACAATCACAATCATCATCATCATCATCGACACAATCCATACAAAATCATTACCATCCATCAAATCGATCTGGTTATAATAATAATAATAATCATCAACAACAACAAAATTGTCTCACAACAAATACAACATATATGAATCGTTCTATAGGAGGAAATAATAATAATTCTCAATCAATATTGAATCAAACACTTACGAAACCTTTGGCAGCAACACAATCATCAGGTGCAACTAATAATCATAATTACTATCATCATCACCAGCAACAACAACAACAACCGACGATAATGAAAAAACCACGATTATCATCATCATCATCGCCATATCAAATGTTATCGACCAATAATAATAATCATAATCAAAATCATTTAAATTCCAACAACAAAATCAATTCAACAATTAATAAACATCAAATGGATGAAATTCTTTCAATTGTTAGGCAATTGCAGAATCGTCGTGATGAAAATCATTCCGTATTAGGTACATTATCCAATATGATTGATCAATTACCATTGGAAAGGCGTGCATCAGTATTTGGCAAAATATTCAATATGGTAGCAGAAGAATTACGATTATATAATCTTGAAAGAAATGGTGATCCAAAATCGACCACAAACAACAACAACAACAACAATAATAATAACGCACAGACATTAATGATGGTGAAAAAGAATCATCGACAACATAATAATCATCGTACACGTACTGCTGAATTATTAACATTGAAAAATGACGATAATGATGAAGATGATGATGATGAATATGTTGAATATATCGATGGTGATAATTTTGATGGTTGTTATGATGATGAATCCATTGTCACGGCAACAACAATGATGGCTGTTAATCATGTCCATGGCGGCAACGACGACGACGATGATGTTGACGAGGATGACATGATGGATTAATTTTATTTGATTTAAAATTGAAAAAAATTAATTTTTTTTGGATAAACTTTGATGACAATTTTTTTCCCTTGTAAAATGTATAAAAAACAATGACTTTAATCTTTTTTTCAAGGAATTTATTATTAATTAAAATTAAAATTTATTAAATTCAAATTCAAATTGATTTCAGTGTGTAACGATATTAATGAATGGTAAAATTGTTTATTCATATTTACGCCCAATTATTATTGATGATTTAGTTTGTAAACAACAACAACAACAACAAAAAATTTCGGGTCACATTCATTGTCTTGATGACAATGATGGTGATGGTGATTTGTTTGTTTTTTCTCAAATGGTTTGTTATTTTTTTTGCAGTCTATGAATAAAAAAACTAGCACTAATGTAAATTCTAATAAAACATAGATATTTTATCGTTTGGTTGTTGATTCTGATCAAATTCATTCGATAAACAATGATGGAATCACAACAATCAATAGTCGATAATCGACCTATTTGTCAAAGCTATACGGATATGGAAGAATCGCTTCGTGCAGAGCATCGACATTCGCGTTTGAAGCATTCATTATTACATTGGTTTTATCGTCGTTTTATTCAATTACCACCATCGGATTCACGTATTGATCATGATCATTCAATACATACAATGACAACTACAACAACCGATTCACCTTGCTCATCATCACCATCATCATCAGGTTTATCACCTGAAAATACAATAACAAATGAAAGAAGAATGTTATGGTCATTAAATTATCTTGAAGCATCAATATATTTGGAAGAAGGATTAAATAATGATAAATTTGACCATCATCCACATTTATTTACCAAATTACCAATGTATTTGATTGCACATAATCGTTTCATTTATGCAATAGATCTATTCTGTTGTTGGCTTATATTATCATTGGCATTGACAGAAAAACCGGCTGTCGATCATTACCATCTTGCTGAAGCTATACATGCTACACTTGAATTGATCGCGCTATCCATATTGGCATTGATTTTGTTTGTCAAATTACAATGGATTGGTATAGCGAAATTTTTCAAACATGGTCGTACATTAATTAAAACCATCGTATTAATATTGATGATTGTCGAAGCGATTGTGGTTCTTTTGAGACAGGATACACATTTTCGTGTCACTCGTTCATTGCGACCAGTATTCTTGATTGATAATTTTCATTTTTTTGGTGTACGACGTGTTATACGTCAGACATTTCAATCATTGCGTTCATTTATCGATATGTTGGCCTTATTGCTATTTTTTCTCATATTTTTCTCAATATCAGCATTTTATCTTTTCTCCGGTATATCAAACTATTCACAATTCTCAACCATTGTGGAATCATTTCTTTCATTGTTCGTATTACTTACAACGGCAAATTTTCCCGATATTATGATGCCAGCATATCAAAAAAGTCAATTTTATGCCCTGTTCTTTGTCATATTTTTAGTGATTAACCTGTATTTTTTACTCAACATTATGTTGGCCGTTGTTTATAATTCATTTTCACAGATTGAAAAAGATAAATTTCGAAAATTATTTCTACACCGTCGTAAAGCTTGTGATCATGCATTTCGTTTGTTAGTCACCGATAATAATAATGTTATTGGATACATTGAATTCGAACATTTTAATGGCCTAATGAATCATTTGAAACCCCGTTCAAGTCAAATGGAACGATTCTTGATGTATAAAGCATTAATAATGCAAGTGTTTACACCACAAGAAGATTTAAAAACACGTCATCTTCTCGCTCATCGTAATGATAAAAGTTTGAATAAAAAACAATCGACCGCTAATGATCGACAATCAATGAATGCTGAAGAATATTTGCATCACATAATCGATGCTCAAAATCATCATCATCATCATAATCATCTTACATTGGATAAATTCTATCATATTTATGAAGTGTTGAATTTACATTGGGAAAATCTAGACAAATCATTACCATGGTTTGATCGTTCTCGTTGTTGTTTTGATTCACGTTGGTTTCCAAACCTGATGTATCGTTTACGTGCGATTGTTTTGCATCGATATTTTGATTGGTCTTCATACATTGTCATCATAATGGCTGCTTTATATCAATTTTTCGATGCCATTATCGGTTGGAATGCCAATCATGTGCATAGAATGTTTTATTTTTCCACATCAACACGTACAATTTGTGCCATATTCATTTCGTTGTATACGATTGAAATGTTACTGAAACTCTCCGCATTTGGTCCACGTGAATATTTCCGCCGGCGTTGGAATCAATTTGATTTCATCATTACAATCGTTAGTTTGATTACATTCATGATGAATGAATATCTACACGTGACCGCAACAACTACGATTACGTTATCGACATCGTTTTTTTCTTTTCGTTCATTAAAATTATTGAATCTTTTACGGCGCCATGTTCATCGTTATCGAGATATACTTGGTCCATTTGCGTTGATCATTATCAAACGTTTCATGTCCGTCACAATGGTTGTATTGATTGTTTATTATTTTTTTGCCATCATTGCTATGGAATGTTTTGGCCAATATTCATTGATTGATTGTTGTCAGAATAGTACATTGGAGCCATATTATCGCTCCAATGGTACAACCACATCATTTTATTATCTAAATAATTTTCAAGATTTAATTACAAGTTATAGTGAGTTATTTGTTTGTTATGTTTCACCAATTTTCATTGGTTTATTAATTTAGTTACATTATTCGAATTGATGGTGGTCAATAATTGGCAGATAACAATGAGTGCCTATGTTATCGTCACCGGTAATCGATGGTCATACATATTTTTCATTGCATTCTACATCATTACACTGGTCGTCATCACTATTGTCGTTTCGTTTGTATTGGATACATTTAATTTCCATATCGAATATAAACATCGATTTGGTCCAGATGATTCAAGTAAGCCTGGCCAAATATTTCTTTCTTTTTGTGGCTTCATTTTTTTTTCTTTTGCATCACTGCAGTGAGCGTACAAATATCTGTGGAAGTTCCTATTAATCAACAAGAATTTAATCATTATCAATCGTTGGATAAAGATTTGATTGAACAACGACCGTCTATGATCAATTTATCATCATTGGATTGTGGCTGGTGTTCATCATTATCAATGGACAATAATTTTTCTCGTTTTGATTATTATTCAAATAAATTATTCAACACATCGAATCCATCGTCATCACCAATTAGTCTGGGGATAAATGAAAATGTAAAAGATTTTGAAACAATTATTGAAGAAGAAACCGATACACAGCCATCTAATACGACAATACACAATAAACGAACCATAATGTTTCGTGGTCGTAAAATTCGTGATAAATTCTCATACAATCTTCGAATGTATCATGATGAATTAGAAAAATGGATTAATCAATCGGAATATTCTTGAAAAAAGAAAAATGAATGCAGGTTTCTTTTGGCGCTAGATGGATTTTATTCGAAAAAATAAATATATATTTTATATTTACAACATTTATATTTTTAAACACAAATAAAACTCAAACTCAAAATGTTCGTCGTACACCGACAGTTAAATCATAAATTGTTTCATTGGGAAAATTTCCGTTTGTATTATCGATCAATAATGCTGATTTACGATTTTTCACTTTCATTGATATATAATAACATCGATCTAGTCGATGTTCACGAGTAGTAACATCGGCTATATTGAATGTTTGTGCACGTTGTTCCGATTGGAAACCACCATTCCAATTGATTAGACCGACTTTGATCTTTTGGCCACCGGGCATTAAACGTATGAATGCAACACATCGTGTAAGTAGAAAGAAAAGCAATGCTGTCGATCCAACACCGATGGCCATAAATGCCCATTTGGTCAATATTTGATAACCATAGACTGTAAACACAAAAATGATCAATCAATTAATCAAACGTTTTTTAGAAAGCAAAATAGAACATACCGGACAAATACTCCATTATTCGATCCCCATTTTTCATTTGATGTTTAGTTTGTTCAAAAAGTTGTTGTCGTTCGATAACTTTTTCTCGTTTTCCTATGAATGAATAGAATTTATATAGGATATTGGCACAAAATATCCAGAATAGGCAATTGGCAATGATTGCAATAAAATATCCTCGATATGTACCACGATTTACTATTTCGAATAATGTCATTTCTTCTTTTACATGGCTAAAATCTTTATCCAATGATTTAAGTAATTCACTACGATCCAATTTTGTTCGATCTGTGGTTGGTGGTTTTGGATTCGGCGATGATTTCCAAACAGATTTTCCTGGCACATTTTCGGTACCAATTTTTGTTGTTGAAAAATATTGTGTCGATGATATGAACGATGATTGATGATTATGATTGTTGAATATAATAATTCGTAAACGTTGCTGGCAACATTTTGATAATATTTGACATAACATTATTCAATATTTTAATGAAAATTTAATTTAATTTAATCAAATTTCAATTGCTTTAATTGAAGAAATTTTTTTTGAATCATCAGATGGGGTTGTGATATGGAATAGCCAAATAAAAAATAGCCAAAACTGGAAATAACAAAAGCAAAAAATAGCCAAAGCAGAAAATGGCAAAATACTGAAAATGGCTAAATACTGAAAATAGCCAAACATAAAAAATAGCAAAATGGAAAATAGCCAATCATTAAAATGGGCCAAAAATGAGCCAATGATAAAAGATAGCTAAATAAATTAGCGCAATAAAAATTAGCGAAAAATAACACGTTATATATGAAAGGTTATGTCACAACAAAAACATGTGCACACATTTGTTCCTGTGATTTTTTTAATGTTTCCATTTCTACATCTACATACATAGCGGAGTGGAAATACGCGACAATTCTTTACTGTGTTTCTGATTGGATAATTCGATTTCGCGCTCGAACCGACCGTTGGAAAAAAAATTGATTGTCATTTTCTTTTTTTGTGTGTGTCTTTTTTTTTTGTTCTAATCATCAAAATCAAATCATGTCACAAGAAACTAATAATGCCAAAGTTCTTGGTGAAATTGACCCTAACTCTGATGATTGGCAATTATTTGCTAATCATGATACTTCTGAACGACGATCAACAAATCGACGACGATCATCGATATTGAAATTAAGTGAAGCTGAACGTCGATCGAGTAATCGTCGTGTTAGTTGGGCACAAACTTTTCAGTACAAGTAAGTTGATCCATGTTTGAACAATTGATTGATTGATTGATTTTCATTTAATAATACAGAGAAGTCTTATTGGATGGAACATCTGTGCTCACAAGTCAAGAACTAAATAAATGTCCAATCAATTTAAATGCTAATACAGATCCAATACCCGTTATGAGTGAACAAAAAAATTGTAATGATGAAAACGTTCAAAATTCGAATGAAAAAAAATGTGAATTGAACGATATCGTTGTCGATGAAAACATTCAGAAGATTAAGGATAGATTTGGACAGAATCATCTGCCGCGAATATTATCAAGATACTACAATCCAAAAAATAATAGTAAAGATTGTACTACTGTAATCAATACAGCATTGAATAAATATGGTGTTGAAATTGATCTGGCAAATCCATTCAATAACCTGTCCAATTTATTCAATCTATTCAAACGTGAACATCCTTCACAGGAAGAAAATTTTACGGCATTTTTAAAACATTTCCACTTGATTGAAGATAATGATCATGAACTAAGTTCATTGAAACAATCGATATCAAATGAAAATCAATTAATTCATACACCCACCATTTCTAGTAATTCTGCTATGAGCAACAAGTTTTTGAATTCAACAAAAATTTCCGATGCTAATCATTCATTAGATTCATTTTCTGTCATGGCTGATCAAAGCCCCATTCGAAATGATTCGGATTCAATGAACGTTGATTTGGAATATAATGATGATCAACAATCGATGACCGAACCTGTGGTAAAAACACTTCTTGATACAACATTCATGCAATTAGAATCGAATAATTCATCTCATCAAAGCGAAAACGATAAAGTGTCTGAATCAAAAAAAATCAATCCTACCACTAACAACAACGGACAAGAGGCGAATATTTTTGTAGCAAAAGCTGACAATTTTGATCCACATGAAATGAGTTTAGAAATGTCATTGGAATTATCACCAACAAAAAAAACAACATTAAAATCAGTTGATCAGATTGCCATGAATATTTCTGCTCAAACATCAGAATCAGCTGCTGATATAGAAAAAGTGAACGCTGAAAATTTTCTAAAAATTATTCTTGATGCAAGTCTGTCCATTAGCGATGATTCCAATTCAAATAAACAGAAAATGGAGGAATTTAAAATTTTTGTTGATAATAGTTGTATTGCTGAAAAAATGCCGAAAAAAGAATCACCAGTAGTTGAAAAGATTAATTTTTTCAAAAAATTGGATGATACACCCAACACAGATTATTCCATTAGCCTTGATGATGATGATGATAATGATGATGGTGATGGTGATGATGACGATAATGCAAATCTTAAAAACGATAGCAATGGCCAACAACGAGAAGATTTCATCATCAATGTTGATCAAAATCAAATTTCCAAAGAAGATGAAAATTTAATTAAACATCAAGCTATCGAATCATTTCATGATGCTGATGATTTTTTAAAAAATTTTAAATCAACCAATACATCGTTTGAGTTTGATGATTCAATTGACAATTTAATGGCCAAGAAAAAAGAAGATGAAAAGGATTCAAATGATTCGATGATTTCATTAAATAAAATAGACGATAGTATTTGGATCAATGATAATGCGAATAATGTGAATAATGAAGAGAAAATGAAAATGGCATCAACTTTTGTTCGTGATAATCATGGACAAAATGTAGAATTTACTATCCCAATGAATACGGAATCGATTCCGATTAAAATTCCTGAACAAAAACCACTACCATTCCTTGAATCAACAATGAATCATATCAGTATATTTTCATCATCATCATCATCATCGGATAAACCATTTTCTTTTTCAAAAACTGACAATATCGTCTATGATAAGACTGATGATCCGAAAACATCAGCAAATTTCAATACAACAGAAATGTCAATACAACATGAAGGTGCTTCAACAATGGGGGTAAACAAATCCGTTGAACATGAGCGAAAAATGGTTGCCAATGAACATTTTACGGCCGATTTGCTGTCCATGAATCTAGAACAATCGACTGTTGATCGTGAAAAAAAATTGGCCACTTTTCTCACATTATCAAGTATTGTTTCTGATTCGAAAATTAAAGACGATAAAAATCTAACAAGTTCTAACAATTATAATGATAATAACGATAACGATAATGATGATGAACAATGTAAAAGCGATGGATCAACATTATTCAAAGAAGCATCCAAAAGTTTATTGGATAATTTTGAGCTTAACACACCAGATACAAGTATATCACAATCCTTGAAAAATTTGTCCGAAAATGACATTTCTGAAATTGAAATTTCCGCTGAAAAGTCAAAAATTTCACCAATAGAACCTGATGATGATGGTGGTGGTGGTGTTCGAGTTGATGTTATTGAAATAACAAAAGATCTTATATCAGATAATCAAACACCATATGTTTTAACAAAACCAATCAATCTTGGTAAATCAGCAACTGAAATTCTTGAATGTCAAAATCTTGAACAACAACAGATAAACGATAAAGAATCAAAAGATGACGATTCTGGTGACGGTAAACAGGAAATTCAAATCAAAACCAAAAAATCAACTGAAGAAAGTGTCCAGTTGGAAAAAAAGGAAATCGAACCATTATTAGAAAATTTTAAACTTCCAAATCTTGATCTAATGCGTCCATCCATGAAAATGGTTATGAAAGCAGATGTGGCAAATCAGTCAGCAATAGCCGAACAGCAGTCACCCATGCCAAAGCAGATTACAGGATCAACCGTCGCTGAAATTATGACTGGAATGTCTCAGCTTAAATCAACATTACCACCACCAACATCGATATCGAAAATGTCTGTTGGTGGTGGTGGTGGTGGTGGTGGTGTTCGAAGATCAATGTTTGAGCTATCAAAAAATTCATCCAATTTTTCTCGAATTCCTCAATTGCCTACTCCAATGTCGAAAACATCTTCATTTTCATTTCGTATACCACTGGCAACGCCTGTCAATAGGCCGAATACAACAACAAAAACATATTCATCCGAACAACGTTCCAACATTAGTCAACAAATAGATAAATCGCCATCAGTAGATCAAAATGATTCAATGACATCATATTTTGAAAATTCCATTTTAGCCCGAAAATCATTGGGTGTAACATTACGTGAAAAATTAATAAAAAGAATTGATAAACAACGACAAAAAGAAGCCGAAATTTCGAAACCTAACGAAACAAAAGAATCGGAACCAATTGCTGAAACAGAACAACTGAACCTAGAGCAGCAGCAGATAATTGACGATGATAACGAACTACAATCAGGTTTAGATCAGGTCACTATTGAATCCATACAAGAACAACACGATTATTTTGGATCGGATGAAATTGAAACACCGGAACGAGTTTTATCACCAATCGAAATGGAACAATCGGTTGCTAAAATGTTGAATGTAGATGACTTATCTGAAGATCATATTGAAACAACGGAAACTGATGTCAAAGCTATGGAAAATAATGATGGTGATGATTATGAAGAAGAAGAAGAAGAAGAAACAGATTATAATGTAAACATGTCAGAAATGACTGGAAATTTTTCAATGATGCTGCATGATGTTTCACTTATGCTAGCCGACGATTCAATGGAGGAAAACAAATTTGAATTTTCCACGTATAATTCATTTACTCAATCGATCGCAATGCGTAAACAGAAAAAACGACTAATTCAGATTCCAATGTTTGATTTCATCAATGATCTTGATCATCGTGAATTAAATGTACGAATTCAATCCGTAACTCCTGATCAATTAGTATTACGATATCTGTTCAGTACCTTGGAGCTTCGAATACATCTCGGATCATCGAAAAGTTGCCGTCAGATAAACGATGATGATGGTCATGAAATTCGTGAAATTGTAGCCATGGATTTGGTTTCATTGATTGATTCGCAAAAACCCTTAAAAACCGACGTGATTTGTGGACGTGAAGATCGACCCATTTATGATTGGGATTTTTCTCCTCTAAAATTCAAAACAGATGAACATCGTCAATTATTATTGCTGTCACATGATTATGTGCACACGCATTTCGAAGAGAAACGTTCTTTTTTCGATAAAACATTCAAAGATACAAGCAAATTGAAAGATTTGATTCAAGAATTCAGCATTCTAGTAACACCGGCTAAAAAAATGGCCGCCGAACTTCGAAGATTATTATCGGAAAACATTTCTCATATGTTGCCAAAAGATCAGGATGGAAAAATTGGGTATGTGATTGATTATTGATGAAAATTGGATTTAAAATAAAAATTGAAAATTTTTTTCTTTTTCTTCACACACACACACAGAATATCGATAGAAATTTTTGGCATACGAATTAATACTTGTGTTTTACTTCATTTCATATTTGATCATCTTAAATATCCGGATGAAGTTATCCATCCGATCATTATCGTGCCGGATAATGATCGTCATCTTTATCCGTAAGTGTTTTTGTTTTTTTCTCTCAGAAACCAAAAATTAATTTTGATAACTCTTTTTTTTGCACAATGATTACAGATTGGAAGAATTTGCAGTGGCACTAAAAATGATCAAACCATGTGCATATAATTATATAAGCAAATTGACTAGAGGTTCAGAATGTTTCATACAGGCTCTTGGCATTATAATAAAACAGGAAAAATTAGCACGTCGACGATCGGAACAGATGCGTGCATTGGCTTCATTTGAAATTCGCCGCAGTGGTTAATCAATTGTTTATTTGTCATAATCATGTCCTTGTATATTCCATATATATGAAGATTGAATTTGTTGTTCGATTATCTGTGAATAAATAAAAACAAGTTTTAAAAATGCATACATTGTCTTGTTTTTGTGAAATGTAAAAAAATTGTCTTTCATATTTTGTATAGAAATTTTTGAAATGCGAGTTACGTAGTATATGCTGGCTTGCCCTTTTGCAACACGACCAGTTCCAGTTCCATTAAATGAACATGTTGTTGTGGGCAATGAAATTCTCAAAATTTCGACAAATTCAACTCAACCACCAGACACACAATTTGATTCATTAGCATCGACAGTTGACTCAAGTGGTGGTGGTCTGAGTATTAATGGCAAATGATTACAAATTAAATTCAATTCCTTTTTTCCGGTAATAAGAGACTCTTTTTTGATTTCTTTTTATGTGGCACCACAAAATCTATATGAAAAAGATAATCACAAAGAAAATAATAATTTTCCAAATATTATTATACTTATTATACTTACCTACAAATAAAATACTGATTACAACATTGTTTGAATCCTAAAAGTTCATCAACGGCCAAATTGTCGCCAACCACGAAAGCTAAGCGGACTTTTAACAGGATGACTCGACTTGCAATTCTTAGGCCGTGTTTCTGAAAATTAATAAAATTTGTTCAACTTTGATTCATATGAAGTGGGCAAAACATACTTGCAGTTTTTTCAAATCTTCATTCAATATTAACAGTGATTTCACGGAGTTTCGTTATTCTATTTGTTGCAGTTGTTGCGCCTGACCACGGCTGGTTGTCGAATATGATCAATGGTTACAGTGTATCTTTATCTATGGTAGTGTGGCCGAGTGGTCTAAGGCGTGAGTTTTAGGCGTGATTACCGAGGTTATGGCGTTATTTCCGGTCAATCGAGTTTTTGGGTAAAACCTAAATAATCGATTGAACCTGAAACTCGATTGACCGGAAAAAAACCCGAACCGGAAAAAACCGGGACCAAAAAAAATCTGGGACCGGAAAAATTATAAACACACTCATCAGAAATGGCGTGGGTTCGAATCCCACCGCTACCAATTTTTGAATTTTTACCAAAAACTGCGTACTGTTGATATTGCAATCGTTTGATTAATTAATTAATTCGTTTGTTGTATTCTGATTTTTGGTTAAGGCGTAAGTTTGAAATCAGAAATTCGAATCAATACCAATTGTAATTTTTTTCATTTTTAATTATAACAAAATTGACTGCTTATGTCTATTTTATCACTGAAAAAGGTCGTGAGTAATCGATATTGCAATCGCTTGATTTGAAATCAAAATCTCTTCAATTCGATGCCATTGGTGTTCACGTGAATATTTACATAAACGTTGTATGTTTGATTGTAATTTACGTTGATAACGTTTCTCCCACACTGTTTGACGCCATTCACTATCATCATCATCATCATTGGTAAAACGGCCAGATTCGATAATTTGGTCAAGATTTTCCATTATCATCACCATCATTGACCACCATGTATTATCACAGATAAGTTTCAAATATTTATGGTTAAAATGATGTGAGAAATTTTGAAAATTCTCTCGTTGTCTACTACGTAATCGGCGGCCTTGACATTGATTGAGTGATTGTTTTTGCCTCAAATATTGAATCAATATGTTGAAGAAATTTTCAAAAAGGTTGACAATATTTTCCAAAAAATTGACAATTGTAAAACATTTGGATAGATATAGAATACCTGTATCTATTGGTCGTATTGTTCGTAATCGATTTATCAAATCAATGCCATTAAAACTGGTTGATGACTGATTTTGCCAAATCATCAATCGTTCAATAACCGTAATTAATCGATTTCGTACATAATAGATTTTATGGAATTGTGTTTCATATGATAATAATGATAGTTTTTCACTACAACATTGTTGGCCATCATTCATTTGGTGAATGGTCGTCCACCTAATAAATTCGAAAGTAACATCAGCAGAGAATCGAACAACATTTGAATCAACATGATCAAAACGGATTTGTCCATGGCTTAATCGATCCCGTAAATGTGGTCCATGACAATGTATGATCAGATCATTAAATGCATGAATAAAACCGATGGGTAGAAATTGTAGTAATCGATTTCGAGGTAATGTTTGTTCTTCGATGGTATCAATCTTCCAATAATCTAAATCGGTAATTAATGTACCGAAAATTTCACGAAATGTTACATAATATTGACGAGCAATGGCAGTAAGAAGACGACGATCTTCAAGATGATTAACATGACAATAAAGATAACGCATCGATGATTCAAGCAATGGAAACAAGAGACAAATCCAATATTGATTTCGTCGATGCAATTTCTCTTGTCGTTGCAAATGAAACATGTATGCCCATGCTGATCGCATTGTTCGATGTATTAATGGACATTTGAAGATTTGTTCATAATGATCACCACTTTGATCTCGAACAATGGGAAAATGTTTGTTGGCAAATTCGCTTAGATCATATAATGGTGAACGTGGTATCCAGTCGGTCGAGTGAATAGAAGACTCAGAATGTTGAGACAATCGATATCCGATTGTTGATATGATTGCAATCAAAGTCGTAATGAATGGTCGCATTTCAATCGACGTCTGCTTCACCGGACAATTTATGAATCCATGCCATAGAATATTTCGAATGTTCAATGTTGTTGGTGGTCCTAACAATACTTTTAATGGTCGTATTAAATCCGAACCAATCAATTCGTTCAACTCGGGCATATCGATTAAATCTTTCATTAACGGTGGAATTTGACGACATTTTAGCCGTAAAACATCGCCAATACAATGTTCAATGCCACTGGTCAAAAGTAAAAGGCTTAAAATTTGATTCATACAAATAAATTGTCCAGGATTTGTAAATGGGATGGATGAAATTTCATTTCGTAAACCAATATCAATGGCATCCAAAATGTATGTTTGCCAATGTGGACCACACCATTCAATGTTTGATCGAACACTAAATTGAATCTCATCAATTGCATCATCGTGTTCTAACAATGGACAAAAATAACTATCAATTTTACGGATAAAACGTCCAATTCGGTTCACATTATCAATAGAATCAAATGATTGATTAAAATCGACTTGAAAATCATCTAAATATTGATCAATTATCGTCAAGTTTGGATGCAAACATTCTTGATTATCATTCGATTGAATCTTGAACAGTTTTTCGAATAAATTTCCAACATTATTACTAAGAAACGTATCACTTTGATGATATTGATCAATCGGTACAATTGTTTGATGCATTTTTTTCATTATAATGAAATTTGGCCAGAACCGAAATCCGTTCATAAAGAACGTTGCATTTCAATGTTTGGATTTGTTTTTCTAGTTGTTGTGTTCAAAACACATGTGCTATGATTTAGGGTGAGGTTGATTTGTTTGTTTGTTTGTTGGTTGGTTGGTTGTTGTTTAGTGATTGACGATGATGATGATGATTGTAGTGAATAATAATCATATAATAATCATATTATGAACGAAAATGAATTCAACAATTATCCAACCATTATGGATCTTTGCATTGGCCATCATATTCTTGGCATCGACTATTCATTTTGGTTATAATTTTTTATCATCAGAAGAATTACTCCTAAACGACCAACAAGATGATCCATCAATCAGTGATGATTCATGGATCAAAAAAACATTATCGATGCCATTGGAAAGTAGTCAAGGTGAACGAATGTTTGTTAATCATGATTATAGCATCTATCTTTATCTACAAGATCATTGTAATCAAACATTGGCAAAAAGTCGGCCGAAATTCAATAAATTCGTATTGTTCATTATTGATGCATTACGTGTAGATTTTGTACGATCAATCATTGGTGAAAATCAACATGAACAATCATTGGATCCATTGTTACCGTATACGGAAAAAGTGATGCAAACTAATGGTATCGGTTTGATAAGCGTAGCTACCATACCGACTGTAACATTACCTCGAATTAAGGCTTTGATCACCGGTACATTGCCATCATTTATGGATTATTTTCTTAATCTTAATCCTGTGGTCAATAGTAATAACAATAACAATAACAATGACAATGTTAATGTGGAAAGTAAAACAAAAAAACATGCGGACGATAATCTTGTCGAACAATTTAATCGACAAGGTAAATCAATCGTTTTCTATGGTGATGATACATGGACACAATTGTTTTCATCATCAGCAAATGAAATATTCAAAAGAATAAATGTAACATCATCATTATTTGCAACCGATTATACTGAAGTTGATTCAAATGTCACATATAATGTGAATCGTGAATTAAAGACACTCAATGATTGGGACGTCATGATCCTGCATTATTTAGGCGTCGATCATATTGGTCATTTACGTGGTTTTCATTCAGAATTATTTCCAGACAAATTTCATGAAATGGACAATGTATTTCGTAACATATTCGATACAATCACTTATTCTGCATCCGTCAACGATTCATATTTAATTGTAATCACCGGTGACCATGGTATGACCGATGCCGGCAATCATGGTGGTCATACAATCGCTGAAACGCATACAGCTTTGATATTTATCAGTACGAATAAAATTCATTATCAACCTCATCAGCCTTCATCGAAAAATGATCATAAAACCGACAAAGAGATTGCCATTTTTCAATTAGATTTTGCAGCTACCATTGCCGTACTATTTGGTCTAGAACTGCCACGTAAAAATCAAGGTCGAATCATTTCCACAGTATTGGAACGATTCAACATTCCACATGACGAACATCTTTGTCATCTATTTCGTAATGCATTACAAACACAAAAATTATTGATGAATAATGGTGAAGAGACAAAATTATTACGTAAACAATTCACCACTGCATTGAATCATCATTGGAATTTTATTGGCAAACAAAATCAAACCACATCAAGTGAAGAAAGTTTTGAAAAAGCACAAAAATCGTATCAACAACTTATTGGACAAATTCAACATGAATTTGTCTCTCAGACAATTGATCGTTCATTTTGGTCATCATTGATTGGTGCAATTCTAATATCATCGCTGACAGTTGTTGTTTTATTATTGATTGAAATTATTTGCAATCGTTCATCATCGATAGTGATTATTCATCTGGATCGGTTGTTATCTGGTTATTATAATAGCAATGGTCATTATTATCATGATCTCGTACCGCTTCGATATTCATCATCACCATTGGCAACGATAATCATAATGGCCATATTTATGTTACGTTTCTGTTTACTTGGTTCAATCAATTTTATGCTCAACGAGCATTTATTCTGGTATTATTCAACATTATTCTTACTATCAGTTAATTTATTCATTATTATCAAGTATGTATTTGTTGTTTACTTTTATAATTTTAGTTTTGTATTTATTCCATTCTATGAATTATTCTACGAATTATTTTCAAACAGGACCTGTCACAATCATCACAAATTTAATTGTCTAGTCATCGTAAATTCAGTTGGATTAATCGTGACATTTTTCCTATTAACATATTGGCGAATGCCCGTATTGACTGATCAAGATTTGAACCGAATCGATATTACTGATTATCTACAACGTTCATCAAATAAACGTTTATTAAGTTCACTGTTGATTACTGCATTGATCGTAACGGCATCAATGATCTATGGACAAACAGGATCAAGATGTTCATATTATTTTCTAATCACATCGTTTGTTTTAACCTATTTTTATCGCAGTTATCTAAATCAGGTGACCGTTTTTCGATTCTCCGCACTTAATTTCCTTGCAAAATGGCCGAATTTTTGTGCACAAATCATCTTCACACTTGTGTTGTTCATCATAATGGATTGTATTTATCGAAAATTCAACTATAACATAACAATACCAATATTATCAGGGTGGATTGTTTCCAATTCAAAAAAACAACCGGTTATAATAATGAAAGGTATCTGCCTGAATACATTGATCACAATATGGATCATTATGTCGATACTTTTGCTGGAACCATCATTAATGCCAGTGTTTACATTGAATATTTTGATGGAAAAAATGCTTTACTCAATCCTATCCGAGACGAACACAACAAAAATGGATGTTAAATATCGTCAACTATTCTATCGTTTTGGACTCTATGCCTGTATGGCATATAGCTCATTCTATCAGCTTGGAAATCGAAATTCCTTGTCAACAATCAGTGTTAATAGTTGTTTTATTGGCCTCAATCAACATATACCGATCGTTTGTGGTTTATTCATGACAATATCCATTTATTCAACAATGATCTATTGGATGATTATGTTTTTCATTCGTTTTCGTGATGATTTTTTCATCAATAACATTGATGAGTCGAATATTCCGAAAAATTATCAAACATTCACATCGATCATAACGATTACGTTGATAAATCGTTTTGCAATGATGTCGATGACGATGTTTGTTACATGGTGGCTGCGTGATCATCTTTTCATATGGTCAATTATTTGTCCTAAATTAATCTATGAATTTTGTTTTACCATTTTGATTACAATTTTTACATTGACAATGTTTATTCTTTATACATATGATGATTGTTTTATTGAAATGCAACAGAAATCAAAAATCAATGATGAATGCATGATGCAGTAGATATAAATATAAATAAATAAACTAATGTGTCTAAAATTCATATATTTACCACCAAACAAAAATTCGGTCATTTTTCATAAATGTTCATCATCGTATAATCCACTTTTCAAATGTCCTTTGCCCGGAACAAATATTTCTGTTTTTTCCTTTTCAACAGAATTCATCATCATTGTCGATTGCTGTTGTTCACTATTCATTGATCGATTATTCGTCATGATCGATAGTAATTGTAATGCAGAATCTTCTATGAAAAACAACATTTCACGAAAAAAAAGAAAGCAGAATGAATAAATGATAATGGTAATGATAATTTGAAAGGAAATACCGTTAGGAAGTTTATCTTGAACAGTAAACACTGAACCAATCGATTCATTATTATTGTTCGATGTAAATAATAACGATTGCTCATTATCATTGATCATAATTGGATGGATCAATTTCAAATTGGATTGTTTTTGTGCTTGTTCTTGTTGAATCATAGGAATTCGATTCTTCAATACCGTAGTAGTAGTAGTAGTTATTTGTTGTTGTTCTATTTTCGGATTCTTTGTCTTTGAATTAAGAAAACTTTCGGGCATTTTCACTGGAATATCCTTGGAGAATCTTTTAATTGTTGCCTGTAAACTTTGTGACATTTTTTGCCATTTTGATTTTTTCCTGTTTGATGATGATGATGATGATCGATGTTGGATTTGTTTTGTAATTGATTTCTCTTCATTAGTAGTATCTTGTCCATGTTCTATTTTCGATGTTATTTTTGCTGTCGTTGTTCTCATCGACGGTGGTAACGATATGATTTTACCCGAATGATGAAATGAATGATGAAAGTTATGATTAGAATCTTTCATCTTGGATCAAATGAAAACGAAAAACCAATTTTGCAATATAAAAAAGAACATGACCTTGTGTGACTACTATTGTGTTATTGGATTTGTAGCCAATTTAGTTTTGATTTGATACAGTTTGCTTTTGACCACGACGAATGAAAACAAAACAAAAAAAAAACAACAACAACATCGAACAAATCTAGTGTGCAAATGACAAACAATCCAATTAGCTCAAGTTATTAATTTTTAAATTTTATTTTTAACTTACGCTATGTTTTCTCTGATCAAAACTCGAAAAGACTTTGACATTCACATATTTTTTTTTCTTTTTCTTGACTTTATTTGTTCATTTATTCATGTGACAAATAATACTAATGTTGATATAACAACCGAAAAAATGAACGAAAAAACATTGATTGATTCAGGAATCTATCTATCTATTATTATCAATAGTTTCGATAATGGATCAATTCGATAAGAAAATATGCATCACCGGAATTACGTCCTCTATGAACGAATCTGTGTTTTGTTGTTGTTTTTCTAAAAGTCAGAGAATTCTTTTTACGAAGAAAAAAATAATCTTTACCATCAATTTATTTGATTCATATCATCGTAGACAAGAAACAACAATGTTTACACAACAAATAAGCAAAGAGATTTTTCTTCTTTTTTGTCATTTAAATTTTTTTCACGCTCGATTTTCCAATTCATGAATGACCACATCTACCAAAAACATACATCTTTATTTCATTATCGACAATCAAAGATTGTTTATTTATTTTGGGCAACAACAGAAATTGTTCGATTAAATTGATTAAAAGAATCTGACTATTCTATGAGTGTGTGTGTGTGTGTGTGTCAACCTTCGTATTCATTCATTTGTTTATATGCTCACTTTCAAAGGAAAGATTGTCAATTTGACTTTATAAAAATTCATCATTCCATCACACATCAGTAAACAGGAAAAAAAGAATCTTTAAAGATTCTTTTTCCCATCCATATTAATAATATGTGCAATTCCTGTTTCTGCTATTTTAAATCCGTCATTATCAGGAAAAAACGACGACTACAGCAAAAAATTGAAAATTTCAATATTAATCTCACCAAATTTTTTGCCATCCATAAGAAGATTTCCGTTATGTTCACAATTTTCAATCTCTTCTTCTCGATCTCTGAATGTAAGTGTCATTTTGTCATTATTATTATCATAATCGTGAAATCATATTTTCTGATTGATTTTTTACACACGTGAATAATCAATACCCCCTTACTAACTCTTTTGGTTGTTTTTTCACTGAATTGTCGATATTCTTAATAATTTCTCTTCATTCCTTTGAAGAATTGAAAATTGTGCGCCTAAAATTTTCTCTAAAGTGTTGAGAGATTGGTTTTCTTTGTTTCCATTCTTTATTATTTATGATCATGTGTTTTGTTTGATTGTTCGATATTTTAAAATAGTTCATGGCCATTCCATATGTCATTTGTCATCTAATGATATTTATTCTCTCGAATCCATGTTTCGAATGATAATATTTTAAAAATAATTTTCATTCAATTTACCCATGGTCGTATCAGTTATTGTTGACAAATGAATGAAAACCAAATTCTCAAGATTAACCAGAACGAAGAGAAAAAAATTTCGTTGCAAAACAAATCCTCTCTCTTTCTCGTTTTAATCTCTCCTATCATCATTTGTCAACAATGATGACATTAACAACAACAAAAACAACAACGATGATGATGATGAACATTTGTTTTGAAACGAAATAAAATTTTGTTTTTTTCTCTCTTTCTCTCTGGTTCTTTAGTTTTTCAGTCCGCTTATGTTTTTTTTCTGTTGTTTGTTGTTGTTGATTGTTTTTGTTCTTGAGGTTTTATTCTGTTTTCCACTTGATTTCCTATCATAATCATCATCCTGAACAAACGATGTACATGACAATTTCAACAAGAAAAAATTCCACTTGTACTTGAATTTATAATAAATGTTGTTAGACAAAGTTTGTAAATGAAACAAATGATGAAGCAAAACAAAACTTTCATTGCATAATTAAAAACAAATGCATCAAATAATGATTTGAAAATGTGAATCTTCATTCTTGATTCTTCTTGATTCATTGATGATAATTATGATGATGATGATGATGATGATGATGATGATGATGATAATGTCATGTTTTTTTTCATCATTATTCACAGTTATACACGGTTCGAGAATCTAGATTGATTTCGTCAGTAGGATTTATTTCCCAAGCGAATGAAACAACTGAGAGTGGAGAGATTTTCATTAGAAATGAACGTATAATTAAGAATATTGATTTCTGAGTTTCTGAAGAAAAAAAGAGGAAAACAAGAATAAATGAATGAATCAATCAAGACGAATTGGTCGGATCCATTCTTTCATTAACATTACTTAGTTAATGAATGTATGACTTGTTTTTTAAAATTGACTACAACTATTGCAAACGATATATCCAACGATATATGCGAGCTATAGCTAATTTATCCGGTGCCGATATTCATTTCATACTCATACTTTTCATTTTTGTCTTGTTTGGTTACAATTTTGACATTGAATTGACGTGAAAGGAGAAGAAAATTGTCCATCCCCTTCTCCATCAGATAGATAAATAGTGATGAGAAAAAAAAAGATGACCAAGAGATAAAGTCATTCGAAATAATGAAGATGAAGATGATGAAAATGAAAAAGTTTTCTTTTCTCGTCATACACACACATGTGTGCACACAGGATAGATGACAACTATTACAATACTACAATCGTCACCACCAGCACCACAAAAAAAAGATGACGATACAAAAAAATGTTTTCATAATTGTCATCGACAAACACACACACACAGACACACACAAAGAATAGGAAATGAACAACAACAACAAAAAAGTTTTAGCTTATCCAGTATATTGTTCACATCATCATTACATTCTTATAAAGTTTATTTTTTCTCTCATTCTATTCATTGAATTTTATTCGTCATCATCGTTATTTTGATGGTCATATATATGTTGAAATTGTCTGGACCATTACTTACTTACTACCATCATCATCATTGTGAACATCTTCATCACAACCATATGGATGACTTGGTCAATTTTTTTCCATATATCGAATGATTGATTCGATTCGATTGTTGGATCGATCCATTTCATTTCATTGATTCTTTAGTCGTTTTTGTTGTTGTTGTTATCTTCGATCCATAAGGAATTTTTTTTTTTTTTTATTGATGATGATCATCATGTATTCTTCAATTCTCGTTGCTATTGTTGTAATGAATGTGTTTTCCATCGCGATGATTACCCCGTCGTTTACAACAACACCCAAAGTCATATTCGAATACTTTGTACGATTCATTTTCAAACGTTCTTTTTTTGGGGTTGGTTTGATGTAAAATCGATTGTTCGATTCTTTTATTCCACCCAATTCATTCAAATGTTGTGTGACGGGTATCATTTTTTTTTCTGGTTCATTCTGAAAGAGAGAAAATTGCATTCAATTTCATTCAAAAAAAAATTAATAAATTTCCAGCTTTTATTATTTATCACCATCATCATTGTAGCCAAAAGTCCAAAACCGAATCCTTTTTTGTCAACCATATAAAAATTATTTCCCACCATAGCAAAACGGTGTTTGGTGATGATAATGACATTTGATTCATTTGAAATCATCTAGCCTAACTGTTGAGGTTGTTATTTTAACAACAATCATTCAGTTATGTTTGTAATTGAATTATTGAATATATATATAACTGAACGAACAAAAAAAATATTCAATTGAGCGTCGTTGTCATTCAAGTGAATCCGGTCTTTTTATTTTGTTATCGTCGTTGATATTATTATTATTATTATCATTTTTCACTATTGAAAAATTATTGTCCATTCTCTTCTTCTTCTTCGTTTCGTCGTTTTCTTTGTTGTTGATATATAATTTAATTAAATTAGTTATTTGACTGCGAAAGAGAAATTGGAATACATTTCTTGTCATCTAATTTTATTATCTTTGAGCAAAAAAAATTCGTTTTTTCGTAAATTTAAATTTTTTTTTTTTCAATGAGATGATCATCGCGCATGAACTGTAAATTGTTTGAATGGTTTTTCTTTTCTTTTTTCACCCAGAAAAATATCGCTATGATCCCCAAGATTCCCAAAAGTGTTGTTGTCTTGTGTCTACTCAGTCATCGTCAATGTTTTGAAAATCTAAATTTAATTAGTGTGTGTGGATGATCGCTATCCTCATCATCACAGATGGGTTTCAATTTTTTTTCGAAAAAAAAAACACAAACACCATATACAACATGGATGATAATAGCGGTAGATGATGATGATCAGTTTGATTGAAGAATTTTTCCATTTTTTTTATTTTTAATCGAATCGATTCATTTGATTTACCATTTTGTAATGATAATGATGATGATAGACTTGATTCTTTTTTCTTTGGAATTTAATTAAATGCAACAGTAAGTAAATATACGACGACGACAACAACAACAACAACAAAAATGTCCTATATTTACAAGCAGAAAAAGACTTAATCTCTTTTCACTCTATCTATCTTTTCATGCTTTAAGGCAGTAATTTAGATAAACAGTGAAAAAAATATCGAATATATCGAATGTATATTGTTGTGTGAAATTAATTCCAAAATATACACATTGCACAGCAATTAAAGGATGTACATTTTCGTTATCTTGATGTTTGTTCGCTTTTCCATTTATATATGATGATGATGATGATGATGATTAAATCCTCATTGATCATTCATTACAAATTCGAACCATTAATTTCGATAAAGTAATGAACGAATTGTTGGCGATTGAAATGTGTGTGTTTTGTATATATGATGATGATATCGATATATCGAATCACTTACGATATTCCTTTTCTGTCTTGATTAATTCTTGAATATGATCCAATCTTTTTGCTATATGGGTGAATTAGATTTCACAAAATTTTGTAATTAATAATAATGAAGTTTTCTCTCTACTTTTTCTGTTCAAACAAATCAAACAACAACAAAATGTATCAGATTTCAACAAAAAACAACGAGATCATCCTGTATTAGATTTCATGTCATGTGAACATTATGTAATGACAGAATTGAAACTTTGAAATTAGTGTATTAATGCTAAAATGGAAAAATTCATGATATGGGTGAGGATTTCTGTGCAAATTTTCATTTTACAATCTTCACTCTTTGTTTGTTTGTCGAATTATTCGATTATCATTTCGGAAAAATAACCAAAATTTTGAAAAACAACACACCACAAAGAAGAAAACAATTTTCATCAAAGTTGAATAAGTTTTTCCCGTATCTCGGTACACACGCGAATTTCCTTGGGAAGAATTACGTATATAAAAATAGATGAAATCAATATTCGCCTACGATACTGAACGACAACAGCACAGGAACAAATAAATAAAAAAACATCAACATTTATTTTGACCTTTTATTTCATCATCATCATCATTACTATTCCCTTTCTCCTGTTTCCAAATATTTCCGAATGACCCATAGAAGAATAAGATGCTATAGTTTCTCGAAAAAACGCTTCAATAATTTAGTGGCTCATGTTCAAATTCTATTGTTGGCTTCAATGTTATATCGTCTTAGTCGAATTAATCGATATCAATTACAACAGGCTTTTTGATTGATTCATTTTCTGTTCAATTGTCGTAGATAGTTATCTTTATCATCTTTATAGAGATTCATATCTTATCAACATGAATGAATGGTACAAAAGAAAAGGTCAACCGAGGTCAAACAAATATCATCATCTAATCAACCGCAAATCGATGACAAACTTTTTTTTCTTTCTTTTTTCTGTAATATATAAAAACAAAAGTTTTCTAGTTTGCTTCTTGAGCTTGATTTAGTTGAAAATTTTCGATTCTAATATTATATTTTATGCTATTAAGGTCTTGCTAAATTGAAATGGGCCTCATCTTCTATCCATTCGTAATCCTGGTGACGTGTTTTTGGCTTCACAAAACAAATAAATGAAAAATTTGATGGCCTTATCTCTTTGTTTTTTTAGTGTGTCTAGTCAACTTTCTTACATCACATACTGTTGTGTATGTATTAAGCTCAAAAAAGCAGTCTGACAATTCTCTGTATGGTATTTATATAAGTTTTTTGTTTTTTTTTTTTTTCGTTTTTTTTTGCACTCGTTGAAGTTATCCGGGATTTCTGGTTTGATGATTATTACACTATGAATTTGATGGATGTTGTTGTTGTCTTTATTCTTGTTTTTCTCTGGTTACTTTTTCATTTTTTCATTTTTATTGATTCTGGTCATATTGAAGATTCCTAGTCGTATATATAGAGAAAGATGGTGAAAACACACTTACACACAAACAATCTGCTTGTTGTTGTTGTTGTTGTTATATGTAATTCGGGTTCCATGTTTTTGTTTTATGTTTTGGTCGGTTTAGTTTGCTTGTCAGATATTTTTGTTTCATCGTTTTTTCGTTCTTCTTTACTTTGCTTTGCTGTTGAATCTTTTGCCGTCATTATGGTTGATGATCAAGATGGTGATTCCCCATCCGTTTTGGTTCGTTTGAGTTTGATTCACCACTACTACCACCACAAACTCTTTCGGTTTTGGCATTTTTTTTGCTCTTGTTATTTAAATGTTTTTGGAACAATTTTTTTTTGTTTGAAAATAAATCTTTCTAAAAATTTTCACCAGTAATGATGTCATTTAGGATGATTGGTTGAAAGAGATTTTTTGAATTGGGAGAAAAAAATTTTAGAAATGGTAAAAAACATTTTTTTTGATAAAATAATAACCATTGATTCCATTGAATTTATTTTTGAGCCATCGCCAACCACACGAATATATAGCCTATTCAATTTCTAACTATGATATAATGATAAGCACAGCCGCATCAGTAAGCAAATAAAAACAACCAACCAAGCAAGTAAGCAACAAGGGCCACGACGACATTTAATCATCATCATCATCATTATCATCAGATTTACATCATCCTCAATCCAGCTTTTATCGGTTTATTGTGGAATCACTTTTGCTTTTGCTTTTGCTTTTAATGCTGCTGCTTCGTTTTTTCCACCATAAAAGTTCATTCATTTTCATTTCGCCAATTGTTACAAATCAGTGACTCTCATGGTTATTTAGCGGGCTATCATTCATCATCAGAATATTGGCTAAATGGTACAATGAATCCACACACGCACACACAGTCGCAAAAAATGAAATTGGTTGATGGCCACTGTGTGTTGTACGTTCGGTATTAAATTGCGTCGAATCTGAGAATCAAATCCAGAAAAGAATTCTCTACCGTCGTCGTTGTTGAATATACATTGTGAACTGTGTTTTTTGCAACAATATTCAGTACATCATCATCATTGTGGATCGTACGAATTCCATTCGATTTCTTGTTTCATGAATGTGTGTGTGTTGTATTCATTGGACACGACACGTTTTTTGTTAGTTTTTCGCTCTTTGCATCATGATTTTGTCTAATTTTGTTCAAAAGAGGATGGCCATAAAACCATTCATAATCAATGAATAAGAAAGATTTTCGTATACCGATGCTGATCCATTTTGTCAAGATAACCTTTATATAATTTAGATTCAAATTTAAATTTCAATTCAACAGTTCAATTTTTTTTTTTTTTTTGTTACCCAAATGACATTTTGTTTTTTCTGAAATGAAAACGTTGACCACCAAACCATACGTTTCCGGTGATTTTTTTCTTTTTGTGGTTTTTTTCAAATAGTGATTTGTGTTGTTAGATGACGGCAATGATAACATTGGTGATGTGGAAATATTCACTTGAGTCACCATTTGAACAAACAACGATACAACAAACGGTCAGCATAACAGACACAACAGCAACGAAGAAATTGCCACAGTAATTGAATATGAAGAAACAAACAGAAAAAAATCCACATATCCTGTTTGTATTTTGCAAGCGAACAAAAAAATAAAAAATAAAAACCATAGAAGAAACTTAATTCAATTTTTTTTGAAAAAAATTGAATTCTTTCATTTCATCTTCCCCAGTGAATAATCTTGTAAGCAAACAAGATCTTTGTTTTCCATTCAAATATTGAATATTTTGTTTACTTTTATTTCACATCCATCATCAAAAAATCTAGTCCATAGTTTCGATACTTCTGACATTGGCCAAATAAAAACCGGAAAAAATATTCTCGTCATCATCGTTCAAAGGTAAAATTTTCTTTTGTTCGAACTACTTTGGTTGAAAAAAATTCATTTCTTCACTTCATTTTGTTGTTCACTTCCATTTTCTCTCTCCCCATCTCATGTTCATTATGGTTATCATCATTATCATTAGTATTAGGATAGTGAGAGAGAATAAGAGAGAGAGAGACAAAGTTTCCTTACTTAGTATATGATGATGTTGGTGATTCTAATGATTATTTGCCAACATTTTTTACATCTTTTTTCAACATACAAACGGTACATTTTCATTCATTTCGATAGGGTGATTATTGGTAGTAAAAGTGTGCTTTGTTTTTGTTTATGGATTGCGGTGTGTGTGCGAAATTGACGGTCGTGTCATGGAATTTTTACTTGGCTAAAACCCGAATTTAGATTTCGATATGTTTTACATAAATGCATTTTTCCTATACTTATTTTCACTATGAATTTTTGTTGAGGATGATATCATCTGTGAAACGCATCCATCAGAATCCGTGTTCAAATGATGATGACTGAGATGTTATAAAATGTTTTTGTTTTTTAATGGATTTTTTTTTGTTTCTAAAAAAAAAAAGTTCAAAGTTTAAATCGTGTTTTTGCGTGATCATATTTGATGGTGTTGTTATAGAAAAGATATCTTACTCATTTTCTTGGAATTTTTCTTCACGTCAAGAACCTTAAAATAAATTTTCCTTATTCTTCACGTAAGAATATTAATGATGTGTGTGTGTTTTTTTTTTTTTTGTGTGTGTGTGTGTGTGTTTGGATTGAAAATATGTGAATGTTTTATTTTGTTGTAATTTATTCATGATTTTTCATTTATTTTTGTTTACTTTTTCTGATGAAATTCAGTTCTTTTCTCAGTTGTATAACGGATAATGTTATAATATAAGCCATTTTTATTTATATGACAGCAGTCATTACCAAAAGTAAAAAAATTTGCATGAATAAAAGACTTCATTAGAAGCAATAAATTAATATATATGCTCTATGAATTTCGAATGTGAAATGGGAGGAAAATTTTAAGAAAAATTTTATCTATCAGTTGTTTGGATCTGATTTTTCAATTAAAGAAAACCACTTTCATGCCTTTTTTGATAGGAGTTATCTCATCTTTTTTTTCTCTTTCTGTTGTTGTCATTTTTTTTTATTTATCTCTTGTTTGGTTTCATTTTACATTGGTTGTGTGATTTACAACCGATACATTTATCTTTGTATTCGTGCGTGGTTCTAAACGGTTTTTTGAATCGAATGAAAACTGGTTCATTGTAAATGAAAAAAAGTTTTTTTCCCTCGTTTATAATTGAATTTTTTGAATCAGATCAGAAAACGACAAAAAAACCAATCGTTTCATGAATGGATGAATGCTGTGCTTGTAGCAACAAACCAACCGACAGCAGCAATAGAAATGCAAACAAAAATGAACAGCAACAACAACTATGTTTGTGCGTGGGGTGTGTCAGCTGTATGTACTTTATGAATTACGTAATATAAATTCCATGCACACATTGTCGCTTATTGAAAAAAAGTTTCATTCTACATTTGGAACAGGTCTTTTTTTATTCTTTTTTCCAATACCGTTTGAGTGAATGATTGTTTGTGTGTTTGTGTATTCAAGTATACTTGATTGCAAAAAAAAATGAAATAAAATAAAACCTAAGAAAAGAAATTCTATTCAGGTTTTTTTCGTTTCTTATCATGAAAATTTGATAAAAAATGTGCAAAAATTTATTGAATTGACCAACTTGAAAATGGAATTTATCAAATATAATTTCCCATTCGGACAATTTGTTTTTTTCTTGGTTGTTCATTTGTTTGAATTCTGCCGATTCTGCTGATTCTGCTTTAGCATAGTAGTAAATCAACCGAAATCATCAATTGATCTGTAAGAATTTTCGTATAGAAAGTTGGGGAAAAAATTAATCACTTCTTGGAATAGAACCAGGATGGATTCTAATAACCAATAATAGGATTTGATGTGATGCGATGAATAATTTGGTTATATTCAAATGAAGAAAAATGGCAACATTTTTCATTTCATTCATTTCCTTCAATTTATTTATTTATTTATTTCTATCAGAATATTTACAATGAATAATAATGATGATGATGTTATAATAATAGTAACAATGGCCGAAAGGGAATGATCATTGATCAACTCACTCACTTTAGTGTTTATTTATTTCTATTGGTCTATTTTGTTTCATCCACATAGAATGTGAACAATATTTCATTTGTTGTTTTTTGTGTTCCGTAATACGATTCTTGCCCTGAAGGACTGAATGAAATAATGATAATTTTCGTTGATTTTCCCTTCGGATAATTGATATATGAATGATTTGTATGGATTGTTACACTCTACTTTTCGTTGTTGAGACGAAATTGTCTGTATGGGCAAACAATTTTAGAATTTAGGAAACAAAAACAAAAAAAAAATTCAATTCAATTTAATCAAATTGTTGAATCTAAAGATTGTGAAAATAGTGAGTGAGGCAATGAGTATCCAGTAAATTATGTTTACTCAAACAAAACGAAAAAGAAAGAATGAAAAAAAACTAGTAGATCATCTGATTCACTTTGGAATTAAGTGATAATGGTGCCACTTTTTATCATTGTTATCGTTATCTAACGAAACCAAATTTTCGACCAAAATAGACACAAAGCGAAAGACAGACATAAATGAAGCAGAAAATTTAATTAATTAAATTTTAGAATTACAACTTGACTCATTTTTTTTGTTTGTTTGTTTGTGATCATGATTACCTGTATCTGTGTTTGTGTTTCTTTCAACTGAAAAATTGATATATTTTATCTTCAGTAAATTTTTTGCTTGTTTGATTTGCTGTTGTTCAGGTCATCTCCATTAACCTTTCTAAAACACACACAGACAGACAGACATCCATTTTGATCATTGCTTTCAATTTATTTACTTGATGTTTATTTTGATTTCGGTTCACTAGAGAATTGATGAGTGTAGGGAATAAAAGAAAAGTACCCTAAAATCGCGAATATAAGAATGAAATTTTCTCATGGAAAAAAGTTGTAATTGGTCGAATATTTTGAATTTTACTCATATAACATAACATAACATATAGATTTTTATTTTTCAAAAGCAGATCTGTTTCATAAGTTGTCAATTACAACAAATCACTTCTTCTGAAAAAAACATCTGCGTCTTATAGTCGCGATTCTAGGGTAACTTATTTTCTCATTGAATCGAATGGAAAGAAAGAATTCTTTTTCGATTGTCAAAAAAATCCCGGTTTTTTAAAAGGAAATGTAATTTAATGAATTTTCAATTCCAATTGATTGATTGATTGATTGAATGAATGAATTGAAATGGAATTCGACAACATTCGCCATTCTAATGTTTAGCCGAGATTATTTCTGGCAAAACAAAAAACCGACAGATATCATCGATGATATATCGTTTCTGGTCAACCAATTACCGGATGATGATAATCAATATAAATCTTTTTTCTCTTTTTTTCTTTGGTAATTGATATGTGTATGTTTTAGTTGATTGAATAATAAATTGATGATGATGATGATGATGGTGACGAAGAAATCCAATTATCAGAATTTTTTTCATTTATTTCCTGAATAAATGTTTTCGTTGCTGTTGTTGCTTGTTATGGTTGTTACTCTGGAATTTACATTTAATCCTTGATCCATGTTCGGGTTATAATTTGATTCTTCATTTCTCTTTGTTTATGCTCTGGCCAAAATGTAATGTCATTATCATCTTAATCATTTGTGTTAGTGGGTTTCACTTGTGTTTCACAAACTTCATCAGCTGATAATGATGGCAAACGTCAAGAAAGCAGAAAATTGTGTTTCATTTTTTTTCCTCTAAATTCCTGCTTTTCAATCCAATGGATTTTCCACACAATAATAATAAGCTCCAATGTCAAGAATCGTATATCACAGAAATCAGATCCGATATAAATATTCAGGTTTTTAATCAATCCATTGATTGATTCAATGCATGCATGATTGTTTGTGACACATTTCCATTTGCATACTTTTCTTTTCTTTTCATTTTTCTTTCCGAAAAAATGGATATGAAATGCGACACATTTGTTTCTCACTTATATTCCTGGAATCGTGAGGATAATAAATAATAAATTATAATTGGTTCGATTTAAAAGTTGAGGAAATTTAAAAATTTGGTGGCCATCTTCATCGAATGGACAGAATTGGAAAAAAATATTCCCATCATTTTGGACTGATTGATTGCCCTGTAGATATTTGTATTTGGGAAATGAAAAAAAACCTATTGAAAAATTCATGACAAACCGAACCGAACTGAAACTGGTGGCTGAATTTCTTGTTCGACGTTCTTTGTTTGGATTGTTTTTTTCGGTTACATGGAATAAAAGTTGATTTTCAAGTTTTTTTTTGTTCATTCATTCAACAATTTCATTCCTGCGCCAGAATAATAACCAAAAGAAAAAAAATGATTTCTATTCATTTTGTGATTATTTTATTTCCATTCCAGGTCATTTTTTGGGTCGATTCTGTTTTTCGAAATATTATTTATTCTAAATTTAGAAAAGAAAAACTAAAATTGTTTTTTCACCTCAAATGAATGAATGAAAAAATTGAATTTGCAATCAGAGGATCCTAACACCATCTCCATCACCACTGTTGTTGGAAATAGTTTTGTTCGTTTTTTCAAAAGTTTTTGTCTGTTTATTCATCATGTTCCAGAGTCATTGTCGTTGTTGTTTTCGGCTTTATTCTATTCTGAACGCGTCCACGCATACACAAACGGACTTTTTGTTTAAATGTGAAAAAATTAGCTAAAAAACGACTAGCTACTAAGTTTTTTTCATTTTAAAATTTCAATTTAGCCAATAATGTGCACATTTTGTTTATAGAGTTTTCATCATAATGATTGAATTGGTCCTTCACTATTTAGGTTTTACTGGTTCATTTCTCCTCTTTTTCATAAGTAGACATTGAGAGATGAAAAATGTGTTTGTATATCTTATATGTTAGAT